TTAACCTTGGTGGGAATATGCCCTGTCTCTAGAGCCTTTTTGATCAATTGAATGGTCGATTTTTCATTTCCGTGGATGAGAATCGAGATGCAGACTGGCTGATACTCTGTCTCCCCAGAAATGTCAGACTCGTAGGGAACCTGAGTGACTGCGATTGTTAGTAGCCGCCCAAAGCCAATACACTCAACTTACATGGAAATGATAACAGGGAAGCCCCCAATACCGGTGTCAGTGTTGTAGAGTCGATGCCTTTGTAAATGGTTGGTGGACTAATATGCCGTCAGCCAGGTATCAACACAGAGAAATGTACATACGCCACAGGATCGTTCCGATGTTCAACTTGAGCATTTCCACATGGAAGGATCACGACTGCGTCTCCCTTGGCATTGGGGGTAGAATTGTTTACGATGTTCTCAAGGAACCATTTTCGGTATACATCGAGACGTTCTGTATCTTGGCGGTTCTCCTCCTCTGTTACCGACTTGCATTCGTTCCTGGGAGGTCAGTTTATTCAATGACTGCGCAATGTACGGCCATACCAGAAGAATTGCGGCGTAGCCTCGACAAACGGCTTGTTGTCAAACTTTTTCTTGTGCTCATCTCGAAAAGTGTCAAAGGAATGGTAGTAATCATAACACCATGACCGGAAAGGTGCCTAAATTGTCAGTCAAGTTTTTACCGTCGAAGTGAACTAACCTTTTCCATGTATATTTGCATTCCCTCATTCGACGCTTCAGATGGAGGACTGTCTTCCCAAGTCTTGCCAACGTTGATATACTCAGCTTTCGTGTCCAGGAGATCCTGCAGGATTGATACAAAAGTGGCTATGGCTGTTTTCTGCGACTTTTGAGGCGATGACATGTCTTCTGGTACGATGATCCTTGGGGAGGAAGCTCCAGAAGCCCCAGCCTTGGCGTTTTCCGCGAAATCGAGGAGTCCCTTGAGACTGCGACTGAAGATCCGAGTTTTGTCGAACCTAGGGTGGTCAGTGTAGCTCAACAGTAGACCACGGTGCTCACTTTGATGCTGTAGCTATGTCGGTAGATAGATTTCCAGGCTGTCTCATGGAGTATACGCCGCCCTCGGACATCACTCTACCATCTATACGTTGTCAGTCATGGCTTCTCATGAAAGACCGGCTTACCATCAATGCCAATACTGTAGTCAATCCATGGGTACCCAACCGAGGCAGCAGCAGCACCGACAGAACCACCCTTCATCCTTTCATATCCATCACCTCTTGCACTCCAAGGAGCTTGTTGGTCAACCCATTCTGCGCCTGTACCAAGATGCGATGTCTTTGTTTTTCCGATGATGACGGCTCCTTGGTCAATAAGACTTTGGGCATATTTGGCTGTAGAGCTCGAGGGGTTTTCGTAGAGAGATTTCCATGCCCGGCTGGAAAAGGTTGTATAGGTTCCTTTCAACGATATCGTGTCGCTTATAGAAACACGGACACCAGACAGGGGTTTCTTGGCAGAAGGTTGAGAATGGTAAAGTCTTGATGGCACAGGGACTGTAATTGAGTCTCCGTAAACAGACGAAGAGGTGAGGGGTTGGAATCTGTATTGTCAGCTATGACTTGCACTAGAGACACAACATACTCGTCTGGTTGGTTCAGATCATCAGGTATCACACCAGAGGTAAAAGCTCCGAACTCATCATCATACAGACGCCAGGCTTGGTAGAGATTTGGGCCGTAGAGAAAGTAGGGACCAGAAGGTAACTCAGAAAAGCCATCTAGAGCCTTGATTTGGTCCATGTGATAGATCTGTCGCGTATCGATATGAACCTGGCTGCTGTTGTCGCCACTCTTTTCGACAAGAATGGAACCAAAGTCGGGAACAAATACATCATCAATTGAATCGAACAGCTGTAGAATTCCTTCGAGGTCGCCAAAGATTTCCTCAGTTGACAGGAGCGTGATTGGGATTAGAGCATCAGGGTTGATGGTTTCTTGGATGGTTCCCTAGACGCGTCAGTACCTCGCTGGCTTTTGTCTCATCAACATACAAGCTTTAAAGGATGTATGAGGTATTGTAGTCCTGCAACGAAGCAGGTCGTGATGGGAAGCATTGCTAATGCGTCTGCTGGAGACGGCGGGACGTTGGCAAGTAACAAACGCTAGACAGACACTTGCATATTCACGGCCACGGGGTCTTTTTGAAGAATTGGTTCGCGTAAATTGAGCTTGAGTACTTGTAGGTTCTGCTGTAGGTCAAAGATTGATGGAATGAGATGATGCTGGTGCACGAGGGAAGTTGAGACATTCATGGGGTACAAGTGCAAGAGCGTGCAATAACCCAACACGGTAGTGCGAGACCTTTACCCAACTTATTCTATGAATCAATCACAATTCCCGTAAATATTCATCATTCAGGCGGTTTATCTACTTCAAGAGCCTCAAATTTATACAGGCAGTACGTTTGACATAGATTACCAACACTCTTCCAAGATGCCTGTCTCTGCCGTACTCGGTGAGCTCGGTGAGTCTCGGTGAGCTTATCTTTGTGGGGTATCAAAATTTCCATCCCCCACCAAGCCGAAGTTGCAGATTCAACCAACATCACACTCAAACACCAACAAAAATGGCTAAAAAGAAGGGTACGTCCTCTGTCCCCCCTCTATACTCTATTCTAACATGTCCAGCACCCTCAATCCACTCCCGCGCCGCTCGTCGCGCTACAGACATCGACATCGACACCGACAAGTCCCTAAAAGAAGTCAAGCCTCCCCGCGATGCTACCCAGCGACCCTCCGTTCTAGCTGCGCACCACTCCGCCGGTATCACCAAGAAGGCCAAGCGTGGTCGCAAAGAGAAGATGTCTGCCAAGGCTAGAAAACGTCATGAGAAGGGTCTTGAGATGGCTGCCGCTGTTGTGGAACGGACCAAGAATAAGGTTGAGAAGAGTAAGGGCCGGGGGAGGAATATTCAGCAGAGGAGCAAGAATTGGGATGAGATTAACAGGGCTACGGAAGAGGCTGAGGAGGCCGAGAGCGCGGAGAGTGATGCTGAGGTGAAGGGGCGTGGAGTCGATGTGGACGAGGATATGGATGTAGCGGAGGAGACGGCACCTGTTGCAGAGACCAACACCCCTGCGGCGGTACCTCTACCTGCTGACGAGGATGGCGATGAGATCCTTTAGTTCTTGGACTGGACTTGGAGTTTGGTGTCTAAAATGGGCTCGATATCCGGGAGACGACAACCGGACTGATGACTTTCTTTATTCGGCTATAGACTTGACTGGCAGATACCCAGTATATGATGTTATATCAAGCATTTACGCATCCTTCTGAGCGTCCACCTCTGGTGATTCCGCTTCCACTTTTGGCTTTTCACGGGCCTGTTTTGCGATTCCCTCAAGGTAAATCCTCATCGTCTTGCCAACCTCTCCATCTCTTGGCTTGTACTCTCTCGAGCCTAGTTGCTCAACCAGCTTGTTCACCTTGGCGTAGACTTCCTCTGCGGTGTCTTCCGACGTCCGCTTCTTCTGTCCCTTCTTCTTGAACCCAAGGATCAGTTCCACCTTCATACCCTTGCTGAGGAACCCAATCAGCTGCTGTGTCTTGACCCCAAGGTCATGCTCGCTGATGGCCCAGCTCATTTCGACTTCCTTGAGCTTGGGTGTGGTCTGTTTGGACAAGCGGCGACGTTTGGCTAATTCACGCTGACGCTCGTATTCTTCCTTCTTGTTCACAATCTTGCAAATAGCATACTGCGTTGGCTTGTCCTTCTTTGGATCTCCTGGGATGTAGGGCGTTATCATGCGAAGTGAATCTGCGTCGGGCAGTCGGCTCAGCACGTTTTTTGTGAGAAGAGGTCCATCGAATACACCATTATCGAGAACGATGATCTTTGGGTCCGTGATCTCGAAATCTTGGGGCAGGCGATCGCGACCAGACTTTTCAAACTCCTCTTGGGTAGTGTATCGTCGATCGAAGCCACGGTCTCGGCCCTCATCAGCGAAAGGATCTTCCTCGATTTCGTCTTCGCGTTTCCTTGCTTTCTTGTTTTTCGCCTTCAATTGCGATACAGAGAAGAAGCGGTTCTGTATTAGGAGGGCTCGCGGAGGTTGGAACTGTCGTGTGAGGAGACCCTCGTGTTGAACGAAGACCCTATAGAGGGCTCGACGGGAGCTCTGAAGGCATGCAAAGCTGTTCATTCTGGCGAGTTCCTGAAAGGAAAGTCGTCGCGCCGTAAAAGAGTGTAGACAGTCGGCAATGGTTGAATGCAATGAATGAATGGCTGATCGTCTTCATGGTGGGCGGTTGATTTTGGCAGAAACGTCACTGTGGGGTGCTGTCAACTTATCCAATCAGGTGCTCTTTGACCCTTTCCACGGCTGATTCAACACCAAGCTCTGGTGGGTGTGTTGTATACATATTGCAATTCAACTCAGCCCGTCAGGGCACTCACGATGGCTTCATTCCATTTCGCCCGCCGTCCTGTGCGGACAACAGTATCCTTCCTCAAGGCCGCTTGTCTCGTGCACCTTGGAATCACATACGGCTATACCATCAGCCCAGCTCAAGGCCCTTCAATGCTTCCAACTTTCACAGTCGATGGTGATTGGATTCTATGTGATCACACGCGTCGCTATGGACGCGGTGTTTCTGTTGGTGATTTGGTTGTCTATCGCATCCCCATCTTCAACAACCAGTGGGGAGTGAAACGAGTGACAGGCATGCCAGGGGACTATGTCTCGGTTGGAACGCCAGGAGAGCAAGGAGAAGAGTTAATGATACAGGTACTTACTCCGTCCTCGTCCCTGACCACACTAACTTTTCAGATCCCCGAAGGGCATTGCTGGATTTCAGGAGACAACCTCCCAGCATCAAGAGATTCACGACATTTTGGCCCACTACCACTAGCTCTCATCTCTGGCACTACAATAGCCAAAATTTTACCATGGAACGAACGTCAATGGATGAAAAATGTACTACAAAAGGTTGAAGAGCTAGACTAATCACGAGCAGTCTAATGTAAATATGTATCATCTCTTATCTGGGTATAGAAACTTGCACCTCTCGTCTAATTACATCTGCTCTCCCCAAATCAACTGCCCAGTAAGTGATCTAGCGATATCTTCCACATGAATCATCAAACAAAGAGAAAGAATACCGTCCTTCAATGCAGCACTAGCCCTCTCGTACACCGTCAAACACCATTGTTATAAGAACAATTCTTGAAAGCCCATGACAGGCGATGCAATCCGTATAAAGAGACACCCCTGAAAACCAAACATCATTCTTAGAATGTTACATGACGCCAAACACCATATCACCCAACACCCCATACGCTTCCGCTTTTGAGATGAATAGCCACGAATACAGTTAGCCCTCGATGTGAGCCTTGGACATGCTCTGTCCCAGGAGTTCCAGGCAACGTTGAGCTAGGTTGACAACTTCACCCTCATCCTCATCCTCGAATTCATTGTCAGCTTCAATTTGTCGATTTGCAATGCTTCGGATGTGCTCGATGATGTCCTCCGCCTTTCCAATGAGGCCAATAAGAGTCTTGTCCTCGGATTCGAAGAGCTGGAGAAGGGTCCAGACGGCAATGTGCTGGAAGGTGGCATCACCAGACTGCAGGAATCGGCAGAGGTATCCGTGAATTCCACCTTGAGGTTCGGTCCAGTTTTGTACAAAGATTGAGTAGTCACCAACTGCTTTTGTTAGTTTGTGTTTGAATGGCGGTGAAGTTGACTCACCTTTAGAAGAAAGGTTGCCCAGGGCAGCAGCACTGTTGCCTTGGACTTCAATGCTTGGCGAATGGGTGAGAGGAATGAGAACACCGCAGACTCCAAGATTCAAGAGATGAGACTTGAGATCATCACTCAAAGCCAGGACGGCGATAGCAGCGGTCATCTCGGACTGTACAGTGATGGGTACATCAAGAACCAATTGCTTGCACTTTTGCACGGCACCGGCATCCAGGACAAGAGCTTTGTTTCGATCGGAACTGGCGGCAAGATTTCGAAGGGTCGAGATGGCATGGCACTGAATCTCTTCATTGTCTGTAGATCCAAGTAGGTCGACTAGTGGCTTGAGGAAGTTGGTTTCGATAATTGGTGACTCGTTAAGAGGGTGGATAGAGATGTTTCGTATACAGGCGACAGCAGAAAGGATAAGCGGTAGATAAGAAGATTGGAGGAGTCGGAGAAGAGGGTGAAGTCCATTGGCACGAACGATATCAAGCTGATACTTTTCGTCGGAAGCGAGGTTGCGGAGAGCCAGGGCAGCTTGGCATTGAACCTTGGGTGAAGTCGAGTCCATGAGGTTGACAAGAGATTGGACCAATTTGGGTTCGCTTTGAGCCAGCTTTCGTCTGTTGCTCGCGTCGACAGCGATATTGCTGAGAGCTGTGGTGCAGTAGTATTGAACGTCGACATCGGGAGAAGAAAGAAGTTGAACAAGCACGGGAATCGCTCCAGCATTTACCAGTTGCTGTCGGTTCTCATCTACTCTTGTTAGCATGTATTGCCGTTGCCATATACACAAACATACCAGAATGTGTCATGTTCAGCAGAGCGCCAGTAGCATTCCGCTGAACCCGCATATCCCGAGACTTGGCCAATCTTGTCAGAGGACCCAGAGCTCCGGAGCGAGCAATCTTTGCTTTATTCTCCTCATGTGTAGCCAAGTTCGTGATACATCCCACAGCATTGCACTGGACTTCGACATTGGGGGACATCATCTGGCGGATTAAAGGTGTTAGACCGCCAAGTTGCACAATGAGAACCTTGTTCTCGGCTACAATACGTCAGTGACTGCGAATGTTGGCTTCGGTGTACATACTGTCAACAGCCAGGTTACCAAGTGCAGCACTGGCAGCTCGCTGAACTTCGATATCGGGGCTCTGGAGAAGGAATAGAATAGGTTCAAGGGTGTCGCGGTCAACCTCTCGGACATCTACATTGTTAGACCAGTCGGGAAGGCGGGCGTCTTTCGTACCTCGTTCAGTAATCTCAGCAAAAGTCAAACTAGCACTTCGTTGAAGATCAATGTTTTCCGAAAAGACCAAGGTGCTCAGAGCACGAAGAGGTTCGCCAGAGAAGAAGTCGGTCTCGCCGCGCTATCACAAAGTTAATAATCCGAATAAAATGTTTGTCCATGTACGTACATTTTCGAGATACTGGAGAAGGTCGGCTACAGCCTCTCGTTCGCTATCGGCGAGGACGGGTTCATACAAGCCATCGCGGGCTCGACCTATTGCTGTCAGATGTATACAGCGACGGATAATAGCATGCATACCTCCGCAGCACGAAGAGCTGCAGATACCCATGGCAAACAATAGCACAAAGGCTTGATGAAAGAAGTATGTTGGACGACGGTGAACGAAAGTCGGTCTCGATTTTGATGCAGTATCGGTCAAGGCTCGGTTGTTGACGAAAGGTCATCCACTTGTCGGCAACGTCACAACAGGGATCCAGATTCGAATTATTATTATCGGGCTCGGTTGTCGGGTGAAGGAAGCTACAAACAAAACCTCTATCGGGCAAGATAAATGACTGACTACCACAGAGGCCAATCACTGGCACGAGATAGTGTCAAGATCGCGGTGTAGAAGGGAAAATTAGTTGGCGATTGCCCAGGTGAGAGATGAATCCGAGGGGGAGTTATCCTAGCCTCACAGTTGGTTGGCGAGGGAAAGAATGGGGATCAAGACGCGCGCCAGGAAGAAGCAAGGTGAGCGCCGTAGCTCGGGTAGGACCTTCTACAGAGCTCAAACCTAAGCTGCCTGAGGTAAGTAAAGCATGAGCTAAAGGCAAGAACGGATGAATTGGGGAAGCTACTTCCAGATACATTGGAGATCACTACTGGTACACGTCAAAAGAGGTAGCTACAGGGGGTATCGAGGTTCCCTGCAGGAGGTGACCTCACTTGAGGTCATCCGCCGAAGGTAGGGTCCGCCAGGGACGACGTGCGCTATTGTTTAGTGCACGTGGAGGAAAGAAAACTGAGGACCTTGGACCTAAATGATAAAAGTATTTAGGTAAACCCCGCCTAAGTTTAGGGGGCTTTTTACCGAGTTTATTTTGACACTCTATATCAAAGTTTGGTGTTTTCTTCCCCTGAGGGTTAGGTGCAGAGACAGCTGTTACAGTGGACCGCCTCATTATGCTAGCGGTGTTGTGGAGAAGCTTGGACCGTATTGCTTTTATCCAGACATTTCAACGCCTCATTTTGAGATTATTGAATGATCGTTTGATGAAGACTAATATTTTTGTCATGAAGCGTAGGATCTACTCCACGTAATAATCGATACCTACCATCCCTCTTCAAATCTGAACGATGGAAGCTCACGGAATGTTGCTGCCTTCGATATTGCGTATACTGTCGTGTCGCGTGGCATGTGATAGAGGCATTTCTTGACGTAAGATACAAATCCGAGGTCTACTTTATGCGACCTGATCGATACTCGATTTTGACGAGTTTTGCTTTCCAAAGATGGTAATTCTCATGTCACACAAAATGTGCTGCCCATGTGCTTATCGTGTCATTGTTGGGTATCAATCTGAACAAACTTTGGCTGCAAGACATCTGCAGCAACTAACTACCCTGCACCACCATCTCAAAGCAGGTCATGGCGGCGTTGACGTATGAACAGGGATCAAAAGACTATTGGGTGTTTTGAACGACTGGCTGTGATGGATGGGATTGTTGTGAACCGGACAAACTTGTGCTGGACCCTTATGTGGCTTTGATGCCTCTGCAGACTCGAATAGACGGTAAAGCTTGGAATGGATACAGAATACTGAGACATACGAGTTGCTAATTCTGGCTACACCGATTTCTGTTCCAAGCTCAACTGATCAACAAACGGGGACAAAGATTCTGGGATCGAGTGTTGACTTGCAATCTATCCTTCTATTGTCTTACCAATCCCTTAACCTGTCAATATCTCACTATCTCAATATCTCAGTCATAAACTTGCGGGATTTTGACCGCAGAAGAATACTCAGACCATGATAGATTGCATCAAACAAACCAGATAGGCTATATTGAAATAATCTGACCAATCCTAATACCCGGAGATGGAATCGTAAAACGGTCAATCTTTGCCAAGACGCGAAGCTCATCGACGATCCGCCATGACGTTCTGTCTGTCTCCGTCTCCGCTGTGTAGTCCAGGGTCCGGTTAAGATCCAATGTTGGCCATAAGGTTAAGAAGTATGGAGTAGCGTATGCTGTACAGTAATATTATTGCTGGACTTTTGTTGGGCAGACTGTTTCGTAGGTGGTTCTCTTATCATTTATTACAAGTCCAAGGTGAGGGAAAGGCCGACCGATTGCCGTGACTGATGTTTGCTCCTTTTTCCCTTTAACCCTCCAGCACATTCCCTTGCCGTTTAATTTGCGCCTTTAATGATATGGAATTGTCCTCGACGCCGTCGGAACATTTTTATTGACTCTAGGCTGATGCTGTCTCTTTTCTTTTCGATTAGCATACGCCTGTGATTTTCTCAGTGATGCGCTATACGTCAATATTTATCAGGACTTGACAACCTCACTTTCGACCTCGACTCGAACCATCAAATCTCGCCTAACAATTCGAATCGTATTGTGCAACAGTGATTTTTACTTGGAATGGAGGGAAACTCAGAACATGAACCCGCACGAGGGGATCCAGAAACAAAAGCACCAGCAGATATCAATCTACCAAGCGAACCTCAAGGAACCCAAGGACAACTTGAAGTGACGAAAGCTCCAATTGAAGACCCAACAAAAGAAAACGTCAAATCATGGATCGAAGCCCAAAGCGAAACTCAACCACAACCTCCAACCGAAGCTCCAGCAGTTGAACAAGTTGACGATGCTGTCGGAGAACTGCCCCGCGTTGAAAATACCCCCAGTACAGTACCTGGCGTGACTGGTACGAGAGCTGTAAACGCTTCGACCACAACTTCAGCTCCAGGCACAGACACCCCGGGACAAGTACAAGAGTCAGCAGCCGAAGCCTCATTTGGAGGAGTTGGAGCTGTTTCTGTTTCTGGATCTGGACCTGGACCGGCTTTGATAACTCCACGCGGGCGGGCTGCATCAACCTCCACTGGCCCCTCCACTACAGCCGCCAGTCATGGTCATGTCCCTCAATTTGTCGCTCCGTCATCCTACCTCCGACGCAGGACTTCACTCCGAAGCCCAATGGCGCCCACCGAACCAAAACCTCTAAGTCCTCTGGACAGAGATCAGTTGCAGGGTCTGGTATGTTTATCTGTCTTGCATTGTCTGTCGCATCCGTTTGCCCGTACAACTTGACGTGGGGCACGCGCGCATCAAAGCCCGATGACGAGAAGCTAATCTCGACAGAATGCTATACGCGATTTCCTCAAAGTTCGCACCAGTTACGATGTTTTACCTCTATCATTCCGCCTCATCGTCCTTGATACCGACCTCCGCATCAAGAAAGCCATTAGCATCTTGACGCAGAACTGTACGTCACCTGATACGTGCAGAGTCTAATGCTAACCTTGCCACAGCAATCGTGTCGGCACCTCTATGGAACTCTAAAACCTCGCGATTCGCCGGTATCCTCACGAGCACTGACTTTATCAATGTGATTCAATACTATTGCCAGTTCCCTGACGAGTTCAGCAAACTCGATCAGTTCCGATTGAGTAGCCTAAGAGGTTGTCGCTCCTCCGCGCAAGCATAACATCGCTGACCATATCAGACATCGAGAAAGCTATCGGCGCAATACCCATCGAAACTGTATCGGTTCACCCTTCAAAGCCATTATACGAAGCTTGCAGACGCATGCTCAAGACCCGCGCCAGACGAATTCCCTTGGTCGATGTCGATAGCGAGACCAACAAGGAAATGGTTGTTTCAGTCATCACTCAGTATCGCATCCTCAAGTTTATCGCCGTGAACAACGAACACAACACCGTCCTGTTAAAGAAAACAGTCCGCGACATTGGCCTCGGTACATATTCAGGCATCGCTACAGCCTCGATGGGAAGTTCCGTGCTTGAGGTAGTTCACCTGATGGTCAAACACAACATCAGCTGTGTCCCAATCATCGATTCTCACGGACGAGTTCTAAACGTTTTTGAAGCGGTTGATGTCATCCCATGCATCAAAAACGGTGCCTACGATGACTTGGATGGCTCTGTCGGGGAAGCGCTCTGCAAGAGATCCGACGAGAGCCCTGGTATTTACACATGCACTGAAGGCGATCGCCTGGACTCCATTTTTGATACGGTCCGAAAGAGCAGGGTTCATCGTCTGATAGTAGTGGACGATGATAACAAGCTCAAGGGTATCATTTCGCTGTCCGACATTCTCAAATATGTACTGCTCTACGGAGTGGAGGATACAAGCAACTGGGCTTGAGTATTGATGAGGTTATAATGATTGCATGCCGCTACGAATAAGGGAGCTCTCAGAGGCGCCGGATGGAGGCAGGCATAGAACTGGCGCAAGGGGAGACGGAAGGTTATCATGTGCATACAATCTTTCGCTATAGACCGTTGACAGGCCTGCATGCATGATACAGTACAGCTGTCTCAGGATGATGACTTTGGTAGTGTCAGTGTTACAGTACAGATGGAAGCTTTTCGGCTTCGGGAACCGAGTGGCTGTGAATATCTGGGTGGGATTGGTCAGGTCTCATTCGATACGACATGCGGATGACGGCCAAACTTGATGCTGCACTCTGACGACATTGGTGTTATCTATCCCATTTCAGTATTTATCGACCATTTCCCACTTTGGTTACTTTTTTGATGCTATTCATATCCAGTTTCTGTGCACAAACACTTTTGTACTTTGTCTCTGTGCCACTTTTGCCCTGCTCTTCTGCCTGCCACTTGCAATCACTGGCATCCCTGAAAACTTCCCATTCACTTTGTCCGCGTTCCTTCCACTTTCACTTGCTCGTGGCCAGATCCTTCTGTTCTTCGCAATGAAGTTTCCACTGTTTCAACATCCACGAATCTGTTGTGACACGTGAGAATTTTGATCAAACACCATCACTCTCGACTTTTTGGCTGCCTTTTGATACGATATCTTATCCGACGAATGCCAGTCTCAGCATTAATAACATCTACTTACCGACAGGCTTGTGCCGATGGATCAGCATTATCACCCAGCACCTTTGGGCCATTACTCTGCACCAGAGACTGGTCCTCATCGACTATTACCGTCCAGAAGTAGCTTGTCTCTTCAGGCTACGATACGGCATATAACAGACCAAGGGCCTGTACATACCAGCAGGACATGGACGAGTAGTGGCGATCATAACATCCTAAGCGATACCGACGAATTGGACGACCGAGCCGCCTTTGTGCAGGAATACAACCGCCTAGCAAAAAAGGTGAGGCCTTTGAAGAAGTAGAGACCAAGCTGACGATTTAGAATGGAGTGCGAATATTGGTGATTGACGACTTTGACTTTAGGCATACTGTAGGTCGTCGATGGTGTATCTGAATAATCACTGACAGCCCAGGGGAACGGACTTGGTAGTCCTCGCAAGCAAGGATGGCTTTATCGGATCCTACGGTCCTCCTCCAATCATCCTACAGCAGATACACAACTAGCTCGACAAGGACCTCGCCATAAACGCAGTGTCTCCGATCTCGCTCACAACTTGCTTCATCGTCGAGACCCCAAGATACTCGATCTGCAGTCGATGGTCAGAATATGTGGCAAAAGCATGCTCTACCTTCCGCCTGAACACACTCCTTCTGCCCTAATACTTCCAACTTGCATTCGAGCTACTGCGCATCACATCGCCCAGCATGTCACTACTCGAGGGATCTTTCGTATACCGGGGTCAATCAGAGTAGTCAACATGCTATTCGATTACTACTGCTGTACCGACAATATCGACATCACAAACACTGTACGATGCGCAAACCTGCCGATGCATGTGCAGGCTTCTGTCCACGATGTGGCGTCGACATTCAAGCGCCTTCTTTCGGTAATACCTGGCGGTATACTTGGTTCTTTGGCGCTGTTTGACGCTCTCGTCGCAATCCATTCGCAGCTACAGGGTGATCCAGAGTTCCCTCGCACCAAACAGACCAAGGTGCGAGCCAGACTCATCGCCTTGGCCATCGCAACGGTACAATCTCAATTTCGGAGGGAACTCATATGCGCTGTCTTTGGACTTTTGAGTTTAATTGGAAGAGTGGCAGAAATCACCCCCAGAGAAGATGAAGAAGGTCGACCACTACCCACGGGAGACCTCATGGGCTACAATGCACTCGGTATCGTTTTTGGACCTCTTCTCGTAGGCGACTTACTTGGACTCTATTGTACGAAGTTGGCCGCCCCAAAGGCAGGGTTGCTGGTGCTCCCGTTGAGATCTCCAAGATCACGACAAGATCGGAATGGAAGAAAGACACTCGGCAATGAGCTTGGGGCACCTCCAACAATGGACAAAATTCTCATCGCCAACACCATCGCAGAAATGCTTATAGTCAATTGGAGAGACGTGGTCCGACAAATGAAATCGCTCGGCATGAACCGACCTCACCCACGATCAACGAGTCAGGACGATACCAACGAGAATGGTTTTGTTATCAGGAAACCACAAGGTTGGGATCAGGAATGGCGAGGAAACGAGGCGGGAGATCAGACTCCACGAGAAAACAGCCCGGAGCCGCCTACACCTACCCTGGGCATATCTAAACAGCGGTCGCGCAGCCGTGGGAGTTCAGCCTCAAAAAGACTTGCAGCCAGACCCAACATTGGTTGCTTAAGCCCAACTGTGGAGGAGAGTGTTCACGACGAGGATAAGACCCAAAGACCATCACAAGCAGGGGAGGGCAGGAGTTTTGTTCAAACGCCGCAGAATTTGCAGATGCCGACAAGCGCAGTTCACTTGAAAGACAGCAAGGATGCGACACAGGACACACCACAGAGCGAGAGTATACACATCGCTCCAACACCCACCCCGCCTACAAGGGCCAGAGGACTGATCAGTCGAGATGGTCCCCATCTGTCTCAAGATGATGTGCCACCTCGGACGTCCTCAAAAAGAGGAACAAAAACAACCCCTATCCAACAAACCAGTACCGAGGAACCTTCGAGCCAGGACACTTCGAGAGTCTCAGCAACGGAGACCCCTTCAATTGAACGAAAGGGCGCCATAAGGAAGAAATATCCTGGAAAGGCAAAAGCCCTAAAGCCAAGTCGACAGCCGCTTGCTGTTGAGTGGACTAAACCTGCCAGGTCATCAGATACGTGCATGGAGGGGCCTGGTTCAACTCATCTGCCGTTTTATTCTGAGAAGGACGCCATTGAAGCTGCACTAAAAGCGCATTTCGAGGAACTCAGAGAATTGGATTCGATGGACCAACGCAAGAGTTCAGCCTCTACAAATATTGATCAGACTTTGCAGATGTCGAATTATACCAACACTCCAAAGGGTTTACACTTCCCAATCGATAGGCTAGAAGAGGGCAGCGAGTACACTGTCCACGGGGACAAAACACGAACACAGGCTTTGCAAGAAGCCAACTCTGCCTCGACAACACCAAGACAATTTTATTCGCCAATGCAGGTACCGGCGAGTATTGCAGGAGGCAGCAGTTCCATGGGGCTGGCCTCCCCAAAAAGCCAGGTCGGGACATAGAAAGTCTCTTCTGGTGCGCAGGGGGAGCTACCCAGCAATGGATCACGGGGTCTTGAATACGAAGAGACGCAAAAGCAAGCTAAGGGCATTGGCACTGAAACTCCTGAACGACGACATTCTCGAATTGTGTCGTTGCCTGCCGAAACGCCAAAGAATGAGAAGCAGCGCACTGCATCCTCTCCCTGGTTCTCTGTCCCAAAAAGAAAATCGACGGTATTGACACGTCCAACCTTGACACCAGCAGACAATCCAGGAGGCGTCAGAGCCATGGCTGCCAAGTTTGAAACCGATCATTCAACCGAGACATCTCCATCAAAACCCAGGAGTGCGAGCAAAACTCAAGATCTCATATTACAATTTTCACAAGAGTCACCCACCAAGAGTATCCGTTCCACAAGATCTGTTTCAACTTTGGGACACAACCGGAATGTTTCAATTTCAAGCCAGGACCGGCGTCCCCGGCCACCAGCAATAAATACTGTTAGAGATGAGGCTCTTGACCAGAATTTGCGAGTCTCAATCAGGGAGGAGGCTGCAATGAGGGCAGTCGAGCTTCAACAAGCTGACAAGGGGCAAAGGTCAAGCTCCCACGAGCAACCGGAAATGTTAGCTCAACGACAAACAATCCCTAGGAGGAAGCCAGTCCCAGGCTCCAGGGGTAAAGAGGCATCATTAGAGAATCCACGAAGCCTGGGAACCATGATGCCTCATCCTGAACAGCCTCCTATCGCCCAACACCTTAACCTTATCAGACCAGCATCATCAGCATCGATTACGCAGTACGGGGCGGATCAGACAGTTCCTCACAAGATTTCAACTCCTTTTCAACGTCCCGGCAGTACAACTACACTCCATGCACAGATTCGAAGTCTCCAACGACAACTAGACCTAAAAACAGAAGAAGCTGTTCATTTGCGAAGGCAGCTTGAGGTGCAAGGAGATGCAGATGTTGGAACATTGAGTCAGCAACTACGAGAGGCCAAAAGGGAGGCACAGACGTGGAAGGAAAGAGCCAAGAGTGCAGAACGAAGAATCAAAGTGTTTGAACGATTCACAGCACGACTCAAAGGGATACGAGAGGCTGTAGGAGTACACACGAGAAATGTCGACCCAGACCTCGCAGCCAAGTACTTGGAAGAGGCTGCGAATGAACAAAAAGAAAACACATTCTTGGAGAAGGCAATGGGTTACGAGAGCGACAGTTCAGGGAGAACAGAAGATGCTGGTGTGGTTCAAGCTCGGATACGCCGTTGTCTCCATGGCTTGACCGATGGTCCTCCAGACAAACCATCCTTTGGACTCGACGAAATCAAGAATATGGGCCCTGAAAGACCCAAGCGGGATATCAGCCCGAGCACAGTCGAGGTCTGGATGGCGGCACAGGAGTTGCTACAGCTCGATGAGGCTCAGGGGCAAAGAGAAGACGAATGAGTTCTAGAACAAGACGGTGACGGTGTGGCAAATAGACGTGCGTCCAGGAACATTGGTGGTCCGTTCCACATGACAGGCTGTGCAAGGGTCTCGATCTGAAAGGACCCTGGTGGCAAACTTGATTGTAGTTTTTGAATGTATCAAATTAGAATATGGTAAGGGTGTCTGTGTATCAGAATATCACGCACTTGTCCAAACAGCGGCATTGGGTAAATTCTCGATTGTGAATGTCATGCTGCATGAGAAACACCGGTGACGACGAAAACCTGTTTTACAGGAGCTTTTGGCCCGGTAAATCGATCACTTGAGGGAGCTAAAGTACTGTGCCACTGCAGATCAGGGAAATGGGATTTTGAAATCTCGATCTCTCTTGCATGCATTTTTAACAGACACTGTGCTAAATACGGCATTTCGATATTCATGTGCCGAGATCGTTGGACAGCTGATTGGGCAATTTCATCCCGCTTTTAGCTCCAAAATTGTGACTTGTCCACTTGTCCCTGCCGCAGGGATTCTATCTGACATCAACGGATGACGATACGGATGAGAACACTAGTATACTTTGGCGAGGCGTATGGCTGCGGTGATTGAGGAAAAAAACATGCTATGGTCTCTCGTCAGATGCTCGCTTGATTCGCCATCTACCTGCGTCATCTCGGTTCATCGACACATGAATACGCCCAATTCCCTCTAGCACGGAATCGAATAGGGCAGATTCTTCAGGGTCCTCTGTTTTAGAGTTCCTGTTGGCCACGCCGGCGGAACGGCTGTCTGTCCCCGAGTAGCGGCGGGAGGACGTTGAAAATGCGGGGGACATGAGAGGTCCGTGTGAGAGGTATTGATCTTCTTGTGTCATCGGCGGAGACGGGAGCAGACTCGCGGAAGACATTGAAGGCGGAGAATAAGCGAGGGGCGTATAAGGCTGAGCTGAAGGTATGTAGGATTCTTGGGTGCTCTCTTGATCATATGTCTGCGAGTTTGAATATCGTTGGTTGGGTTGCGTACTGACGGAAGAACGCCGAGACATTTCTACGGAATAAGTGTGAGAGACTATGTCTTCAGGTGGCGATGGTAGGAGTGAACCTAGAGAAGGATTTGGAGTCTGTGATATGTGAGAAGGCCCAGATGGGTAGAGCGGAGTAGAGGATCTTGACTGAATGTCCCGGCCAAGGATCATATCGGAGCTGGATGCTGTAAAAGACATTGCGGTGGTAGGTCTCGTCTGGCCATGTATCGAATGCGTGTGACGCTGCAGTCTCTGTGCAGCACTGTGTAAGGGTCTCGAAGATCTGATAGTTCCAGTCGAGGCTGAATCAGGGGTTGCGATTGATTTTCCATCTTGGCCGGCGGAATAAGCTTGTCGTTGTCGAGGGGGAGAGGTGACAGCGCCAGCCTTGGTAGGCGAGGTCCAGACCATGGCCACACGTGGGGTGTATGCCTGCGAGGACTTGTAAGGGCCATGATCTGGTTGACCCCGTCAATTGCCTGCAAAGATGGATGAATGCTTGTGTGTCGCCTGCACAACCGAGCTGTACAACCCGAAATCTACACATGTTAGCTGTCATCCGGAAACGGCAGAGTGAACTGAATCATGCTTTCAACTGCCGAACACAATTGGAGAACAAATTTGCATTTTGCGTGACCTTGTAACGTCGGTACGCCATGATGACGACAGAAAGACGAGCTTGTTGACTTACCCACACCAGTCCCCAAATCCCGGGATGTCAAAACCTTGATCGACAGGTCCGGATTGACTTTTCCAATGACCTGCACAGCGTTTCCGTTTGTGAGATGGGCATCCTGTAAATGTAAGCACAGTGTTGCAGTGCATTCTGATGTCGTGAGACTGACACCAGATTTGATGTCAACTCACCCTGTTCAACAAGACGGTGACGGTGCCCTCTGAGTCAAGAGTAGCCTGTTCACCTCGGAGCTGCGTAACCTTTCCCACGAGCATGACAACCTTGCCAACAAAGTTGTCAAGGTAGGCAGCAGTGATGCGCGGGGTTGAAAGTTGCTCGGACATGGTGTTTGGTTTTCGTTTGCGCTCAAGCTAGAGAGATAAGGAGATGAGGAAGATAAGCGAGTAGACAGGGTCTGTGTCTCAGATGCTTGGTTGACAGGCAAGCAAGCGATGTTGGTGAGAGAGGTTGACGATGAAACGCATGTGAAGCTGTTGGCGATAAATGCGGAGGGGAGGCGCGTTGAGCTTGACGCGCAGTCACGTGGGCAATGTCACGTGATGATGAGTCTTCCTGCCATCACAGACATCCATGAATGCCTTCATTTATCATCATCTGAATCCATCGATGAAACGCGCTCATCATCTCACAATTCTGTCAATTCTTCGTGAAAATTATAGAGTCTATTCCTTGCTCTTCAAAATTGACATCCAGAGCCCCGCTGTGCCCATTCGGACCCTTGCCCGATTCCTCCGGTCAACCAGGTTCAGCCAGTCTCATTCCCACGATAAACCCGCTAGTCAAGCCAAAAGCCCCTACAGTACGGAACACTTTGCCCTTGGCGTGCCTTGAGCAGCGCATAACTTTATTCGCCCAAGGCACCCCCGGTTCTCGAATCTGTCAAAGCCTACTCCGTACTCTGTATGTCTCTACACATGTCGGAGTAAAAGCTCCGGAAATGATGAGCTGAGCCGCCATTCACCAAAGAGGAGGAATTGGGAAGTCAGCTAGTAAGCATTGAAGGACGCACAGTCTGTCGGTTCTTCCAAACGGTGTCTTGGTGTTGGCTCAATCGCACGGCAGACACGCCTGATGCAAAGGCCGTTAAAGTCGGAGACCAGAACAGACTGACAAAGAACTCCATCATTATCCAGCAGTTCCTGACCCCTGCAGACACAGAGTTATACGGCATTCTCCGGATGTTAAAATTTATCAGCTTGCAGCAAAGGCCACGCATCCGAGGTCGATCCTTACTCTGTGTGGGTGCCAAAATCCTGATCACGTTTGTCGATCAGTTCAAGATATCTCTTGTCACAACCATCCATGACTCTCGCATGCGATGGATTACTGGCTCGACTGGCCATCACTAGAAGGACCCTGTGTGCATCAGGAATGATGCTACTCAATTGCAGGAATCAACTCATAACCAAATGACATGAGCCAGGTTCGTTCACTTCAGATTTCGGTCCAACGGGTGCTCGAGCTGTCAAAGGATCAAGCTCTTGACTTGATAATGACCATCCCTATAATCGAAGCTTGATGATGAACCCCAGTTGACATGATAGGTAGATGCTGCAATAGTCTCGCTCCCTTCGCTTCGCTACTGAGGTCAGTGTGTGCAGTCTGTCTTGCACTGTCTCGCCGAGTGCGGCCTTGACGGACAAGGTTCATCAACATTGATTGGTGCTTGAAAATCACGGACTCCAGGTCCGTTGCACCATGATTGGTTACACTCACCGGTTCCAGAATTGAATATAGTATCTCCGCCAAGGGGCCACTTGAACATCCAAGTACCATTGCTTCGCAGTCTGTGATTGGGGTACTGGAGGATTTAGAGTCCAAGCACCTCTAGGCACATCCTACCGTCTTTGGCTCAAGGTTCCGAACGGGATGACGTTTTCTTGGACAGAAGGGACTTTTTCCTCACCTCCAGTGCCAAGCTGATTGCTTCCTATGGTTATCATTCGTACAAAGCAGAAGATGGTGGGTCAGGAATACATTCCGGATCACTTATAACCTCAACGGCTTAGTATTCCACAGCTTTCAGTAGATTATCCAGCAAGCATTCAATACCCTTGCGCACACTGGCTTACCGAAGATTGGCTTTTATTGCGAATTGAAGCCAACGGACTTGGTCCGGACATAACGTTGCCAAACATTGCACACCTTGTTTCCTATCTTCACCCACCTTTTTATATATACTCCCAACCCCAGTTGCTGGATATACAAAACCAGCAACATCTAGCCATAAACTGCAACCTGGTCCACTGTTACACACTACACCGGGGAATAAGTGACGCAAGAGATTGTTGATAGTGGTCACATCCGTTGTTGGCGTAATATAATATCTGAAGCTCTTCATCTAGCTTCTGCGACTGCTGGACAGCTGTTACAGCTACAACTTCTGACTTTTCCATCCTACAATCATCGATATTTCTGACAGTTTTGTTGTCAACCTCGGCATCTCGACCTCGTTCCTGATAGATATTTGCCTTCTGCTTGACTTTACCCAAAAGGTCAAGTCGCCCCAGCGTCTAGATCTATAGCTGCATAGGCGAAGCCGAAACACACTATTGGATCAAAGAACCCCGGGAACAGAGAACGGGAGCAGACGAGGCACCTCGCCCCAGCTTCCAGCCTTTAACTAGTAGTCGGAACATCTCCCTCCTCCCCTGCTACCGAAACGTTGTACCCGGCCACTCCATTTAGCTTCAACTTGGGTCTAAGCCTCGAAATCGACTTGTTCTATTATCGATCGGTGGTAAACTGCCATTCCTCGGTGAGGTCAGCCCGGCTGCACTGGAGCACTCAGGCCCTGAGCTGTGCTGCACTACATTGCACCACCGGATTGGTTTCTCCGTTGAGCGCCTGCCTGATTTTCTCATCTGCCCTGCCAACAGTAGAGAGCTACATCTCTACTCTAGCACGGCCATTTCTTCATCACCCATTCCCTTCGACCTCGTGTTTCTCAATACAAGTTCTTCTTTCATCTTCTGTTGAACCGTTTCCCTTCCTGGCCACCGTTGGTCTTTGAGATATTCTGGAACGTCTACACCCCCACCCCAACCAATCCGGCGAAGCACCCCCTCCCTGTGCCCGCTCTAGACCCCCCGATCTCTAGAGCTGCACGCTCACTTCCCATCGAGCGAGCTCCTTGATCTCGACTTTGTCTCGAGCGGCTCGACAGCCTGGCGCCATTCTCTGACAACCAGTGATAATCAACCCAGCCACTCCAGCCCTAGTGCCGCTGTAACCCCAAGTCCCACGCCTCAGAGTACAGTTTCAACGGTCCTGCAGGGTTAAGATGGACGGACCAAGCCAGGACTTTGGCGACCAAGCCCAGAGCTTTCAAAACAACTTTCCCCTGACAAACAACGATGCCATTATCGATCCATTACTCGACTGCACAACGGGAGCTCAGGCATCTCCGATTGTTAGTAATTCCATGGACAACCAGCTTCTCATGGGCTCCAACACGTGGAACCCGATGAACAACCCCGTCACCTTCTTCCCTCCCTCCATGCCAGCGATGGCACCATCAGCTGTAAACACCAGCCCAAAACTACCCAACGAAATGCATTCGACCCCAGAAACCCCATCCAGTGAGCCCACATCTGGCGGCCCAACACGGCAATCGAGCAAATCGTCTATCCCTTCAATAGATTCAGTCAACACCGACACCAAACCTCGGCGCAGCAGCAGAGTTACCAAGACACAACGTCAACAACCAGAGGTGGAGCCTACCAACAAGCGGCGCCACAGAAGAGCATCCAAGGAGTCATCACTGAAGGAGGAAGATGAGGATGAGGATGAGGATGATGGGCTGGATGAGACGGGAAAACGCAACAAATTCCTTAAACGTAACAGGATCGCCGCCTCCAAATGTCGTCAAAAGAAAAAGGTGTGGATGAGAGAATTGGAGGAAACCAAGCATAATTTGGAGACCGAGTACAATGCCCTACAAAGCCAGTACACCGAACTCATGGGCGAGTTGACCACCATCAAGAATCAACTCATGGATCACGCCTCTTGTAATGATGTCAACATCGACCAATGGCTTGACAACGAGGCCAGGAAATATGTTCAGCGTATTGCAACGCAAGCCAGACAGCCTCCTGCAGTACTGCCACAAACTGTACCTCTTGAACCCCACAATACGCATCGTCGAAGCTCAAGTGGTAGGTCGAACCTTGTTCAACCATACGAGTTCATGACTGACCATCATCTAGTTGCCACCTCTAGACAGCGATCGATAGAATCAGAAATCATCTACGACCACGCGCCGGTTAACTTTGCTGATGCAAGGAACTGAGTGTAGATCGACGTGGCGGACACCTGTACCAACAGAGATGGTGGATTGAGTTTAGGAGTCAAGCTATCCTGACCCTAACTCCACATGAACACAACAGCCTTGCTATTGCGACTTTGAAATTCCTTCGACTCGACAACGGATGATGTCGACATGCCGATGCTTGTATCAAAGCTTGATGAAAGTTCTCAGAGCTGTGACAAACACGAACACGAAAAGAAAATAACGGAGCGAGATGGTTCAGCAGGAAGATACCCCTACAAAACCTGGTTATGGTGCGGCAACAGTACCACGATTGGCCGTTCCCACAACAGGAAGAGGTGATATGGCGTATAACCACTGAAAGGAGTTTGGCAAAAGGGGTATAGGCAAGGAAATATTTTATGACTTGATGCTTTCACGATCATGATCTGATTTGCGCAGATGGGATGTACGATTGCTATATGGGCCAACGAGTATGGAGTTCTCGTGACAACCGGTTTTATTCTTGGCCCTTGGCCAGTAATTTGGTGCCTATGGAGAGGAATTTATAGGAGACTTCCTGTTACTATGACAGGATGCCCCGAGTGCTTTCGAGGTGGGAGATAATGAATACCATGACGAGGGGAAGGTAGTACAAGAAAAAAGATTCAAACCTGAAGAGGGCAACGATAGCCGTTGATGACAAACCGTCCTGAGCAAATGGTCCGAAGGTACCTACTCTGCAGCCTGTGACGAGGAGACTTGCGATCGAAATGATTACTGGCCATCGTAAGTGCCAGGGACTTTTGCCGACATGGAAAGACCTGGACTCATCAAGGACACGAGATGTTAAAGCACAAAGGTTGGGGATACGGGGTTGTCAAAGGTAAAGTTTAGTGGCAATATCGAGCTTTGCCACAGGTTGAACCCCTTGATGACCCTGAGCTTAAACATATGTAGAAGTTGATCATCCTGACTCCGCATTTCATGCCAATTAGAGCCATGTGCGATGTCGTCGAGATCGTGGCGAGTGTTGCCACCGAAGAAACGTCTAACTATAGTTGAGGCTTATGATTGGTGGTGATACGTTGAAACAAGATGGCGGCTACCGGTAGGAAATAATGCGGCTAAAGTCAATCACGGAAACAATGAAATTCGCGGCGTTGGTAGTCACTGGTGATGATTGAGCAGAACTGAGTTGCACGAATTTATTTCTTTTGGTCGTCTCCCATTTTCTAAATGTACAGTAATATGATACACGCTCATCCATAGCTCTACCTCCTCTTGATCCACCCCCTCGAGTTGGAGATACCCCTGATGTTCTTGGTGTACTTCCAAAGGTGACGGTACTTGGGTCCCTGTCGCTTGGCTTCCCATCCACGGGGCTTGACGGGAGGCTTGAGGCTGTACACGCGTGTAGGTCTGAACTCGACATCTGAGCCGGGGATGTTGTGTCGCGCCATGACAGCCGCGGTGTTTTCGTCCCAAACGCTACGGAACATGTTGAACCCAAAGGGCGTTGCGTTGAACTTGTCGCGGAAGGACTTGAGCGAGAATCCATCGCGCTGGCTGTATAGCTCCTTGAGCTTGGCAACGTCGATCTTCTTGCCGGGTTGTTGCTCGAGGAGGAAGATACCGAGACGGTGGTATGGCGCGCCCTTTTGGGAGAATGCGGGGAGCCACGGTAGAGCAAGCTGATCCTCGCCCTTTATCCTGCTCAGCGGTAGTGATGTCTCTGTAGGGCTGATGGGGATGTTGGCGGCGAGGAAGTGGCAGCGCTTGTTGAAGGTATCGGAGTCTGGGTTGGGAACATCAGAGTCGAGGACGACTACGGAGACGAGTCGCTCGCCCTTGTCAAAGACTTGGACCCGAAGACGGGGTGCGTTCTCGCTGACGACACTGTCGACGATCTGGCCGGGGGGGATCTTGAGCTTGCGGAAGTATAGCTGGACGTCGGCGGTGGGTTCGAGCTTGGGGAGAACGTCGGGGACGATGTTGAACTGCTTGATACGTTGGGTGATGAGACGTTGGTCGTAGGAGCGCCACTTGGCCTCGGCGTAGTGACGGTAGATAGGCTTGTTCATATCACCTGGATGTGTTAGTCACAGATTGTCTCATCAATTGGCAGACTTACCTGTTCCATCTTCAAAACGCTTCTTGACAACAGGGTCATTAGCATCTGCAAGGATCTTGAGCCTGTCGACATATTTGTGCAGACTCTTGATCTTGATATCCTTCATCTTCTGCCCCCCCTTTATCTCATCCGGACTCGTAGCTTCTAACCGAGAAATCTTGTCAAGCTCTCTGCTTATCTCCGCCAGCTTCTGTTCCCGATCCACAGCCAGAATCTTGCGAGCCTCTTGAAAAGCCTGGTACGGGAGATGCTCAAACGGCAGATCGCCCGTGCTCCGGATAGCCATTCTCCGTCGTCGTGATCCAATTGGCATCTTTCCAGCCTTCATGAGCTGCTGCTCAAACTCGGGGAGCACCGTGTTGGGGTCGAGGTCTGCTGCGCTGGGCGTGGTAGTCTGTGTTTGTGTCTCGGCTGATCGTCGAATTGCGGCAGAGGTGAACGGTCGGGCGACGCTGGGCCGCAGCTGCCGAGCGATTGGCCGCATAACGGCCTGGCAGCGCGACATGATGGGCAGCGGAGCGTAGAGGCCGTAGACGTGGGACGTTGAGAGTGACGCTGGTGATATCTTGAGATACCTATTGAAAAATGCTCTGGAGATGGGTTTGGCCCCACTAAAAACTCGGGGATCGGAGGATGTGGCCGATCCACTTTTTTGCAGTATCGCATCACAGTTTTGAAGCCTCAACACCAGACAGCGAATTACTGTCCTTGATCACAGCAAATCTCCCTATTGACGGCGGCTAGGGAATTAAATCATGGCTGGCAAGGGAATTGGGTGCTTGGCTGAGGCCATGGGCGCTCTACGGGTGTCTGCCAAGGTACGTGAAGAGACTGCAATCGCTTCAATGCTAACAGATGAAGCCGGCGACACTCAACAAGGCCTTTACAAGGTCAATGGCTACAGAAGTCTCTCCAAAGAACACTGCAGAGCCTAAATCTCCAAACACTACCCAAGGCATTCTCGAATCATGGAAGCCCAGTACGACTCCCGTCAGCCGTCAATGACCTTACTGACCACCGCAGTCACAACCGTTCCCGTCACAGTCCATGCCTTTCCCTCGTTGGAACCGACTTCTCTCGAACGATGGGACGTCAACCATCTCTACCTCCCTCTCCGCCGCGATCTCCTCCATCTCGCAGTCGTCTACGAAGGTGACAACACCCGCCAAGGAACCGCCTCCACCAAAACCCGCTACGATGTCCACGGCTCCCACCGAAAGATGCGTCCCCAAAAGGGAACCGGTCGAGCTCGCATGGGAACAAAGCAAAGTCCTATAAACCGCGGTGGTGGAAAGGTGTTTGGTCCTCACCCCCGCGACTTTGGCACCAGCCTCACCCGAAAGGTGTACGACAAGGCATGGCGCACAGCTCTGAGCTACCGTTACCGAAAGGGCGATCTGATTGTGTGCGAGGACGGCATGGATCTTGTGTTGCCGACTGATTACGAACTTGTTGCTGGAAAGTATCTCAAGGATGGACTGAAGGAGGCGTATCTCAAGCGATACATGACGGGAGTCCTGGGAAACCTTGGTCTTGGCCGTGCTAGCGGTCGAACTCTTTTCGTTACTGGAAACCGACGTGAGGCTCTTTTCGGCGCCATGGAGCAGCTTCCTTGGGAGGGGCGAGCACTAGACTTGCAGGATGTTGATGTCAAGGACCTCTTGGAGACGGGCAAGGTGGTACTGGAGCGCAGCGTGCTCAAGGAGATGATCAAGAAGCACCAGAGCGACTTGGTGAGCAGAGTTGTTATGCAAGGCCTGGTCAAAGGAGGGCCCAAGTTAGGGACACCTGTGATTAGGGCATGAGCGTGTAAACTACCTGTATTATTTTGTATACAACCGCATGCATTCAGTAAATTCCGTGAAAGGCTACTCGCCAAGTTATATCGTGCTTGGGTATCGTTAGATTGGTATCTATGAGTACACTATTATACATGACAGTATTACAATGCTCCGCCGACGAGCGAAACAATCCACATGGCAACTCTGACTTTGAGGCCAACTCTTCGTTCAGTGCGGGCAAAGTCATCTCGCGTTGCCTTGGTAGCATGTTCCTGCAGCCACAACTGCTCTTCTCCAAGTCTCCCCTTCAGTCCTTCATCGCGAGTGACGATCAAAGCGCCAGCTTCGAGATCATGAGAGTAGCTTCGTTTAGTATAGTTGGAACTTCCAATAATACTCATAGCGGGGTTCTTGTCACCTGGCATCGTTACCCAGAGTCCTTTGGCATGATATGTCCATCCACCAGGTTGACCAACGACACCATAGCGCCATTCCTTTAATGTGATGTCGTTATCACGGCCTTGGTGATGCACGCGATGAACGAAACGTCGGGCGAGGAGAGTGTAGGCATCAGGGAGGAGGCCCGAGACACCTTTGGACTTGTAGAAGCCGTTTGCCTCGGGAGAAGCTGTGATGACGGTGTTTGAGGTTGAAGCAGTGTTGAGGAGGAGTTTTGTCAGAGAGGGAGCTGGGTTAAAGTAGCCTGCTGTAAAGGTCCACGAAGACTCGCGATATGCGGGCAAAGCGAGAGTCTTGAGGATATGTGTAATGACGGGGAGTTCAGTTGAGGTGTCGGGTTTCATGACCTGGGACATCTGACCAAGCATGTAGACTCGTGTATCAGAAATGTCATTTTCAGGCTTAGTTGTCGGATGCAATAGAGTCCGGAGTGTCGATGTAGTGCTCTTGATGAATGACTGAGGCTTCTCTAGTGGTGAAGGGGCAGAGTTGTTCTCCGGCCATGAGAGAGTGAAACCCGCTGGTTCAGTTGAAGGTTGAACCAAGAAGCTGAAGGATGTAACCCCTGAATGGATCTTCCAAAAATGATCAGTCACCTCCTTTGAGGCAAAAAGATGGTATCGATCTTGTCGGTTGGTAAAGTAATCAGTCGACAAATTTGCCCTGAAAAGTCAGTATTTCTTCAACCCCAAATCTTTTGACATACCCAGACATGATGATCTCATCATCGACACCATAAAGCTTCATATGCTGAAGTCCCCAACCCTCATTTATCCTCTTGGGGATATACTGCTTCCTCAATCCAGTGAGATTCGGCGTGTGATACATTCGAATTTCCACACGATCTGCTCCAAACTCTTCGACCAGGGGTGCAAGTAACGATGCACTCGATGGATTAGGCGCCTCTCTTGTCCCTCGCAGGGCATCCGTAAGAATACTCAATTTCACATTCGCATTATTCCTCAACGCCTCCTGCAGCGTCTCAATGAGTTCCTTTTCTGACTTTCCAATGTACAGCGTCGACAAGAAGATGCGTCGCTGTGCTTTTCGTATCCGATCCTAAACCAATCAGCCCTGTCGTTTTCGTATCAATGACAGTCCAACCTTGAGTGTTTCGTAAAACTCTGCTGGAGTACGAATTATCTGAATCTGTTCCCCTCGAACATCGAAACTCGGTGCCAATCGATCCAATTCAGTGACGAAAGGGGCCAAAGCTCCAGCATTATTCACAGAGCCCTGAGTGTTTCCAGCTGGCATCGCATAATGCCTTGTCTGGACTCTTGCGCTGGGAACTCTAGGCTTGAAACTTGCGCCTCGCAGTCTAGTAGTGCATCGTGCACAGCTTCGAGCAAGCATCTCGGATCTCAAGCTCAATTAAGCTTGCTATTAAAGTGATTGTATCCGTAGATCGGTAGAATTTCTGGTTGAGCTTCGAGGTACGTACCCATGCCGTCACGAACTCAATCTGCCGAAGTTGATCCGCGGTAATCTTCAAACCTCACATCATCAACGAGCTATCAACAATCATCCCGCTGAGGTCAATTGATGCTCAACCGCCATCATGTCGACAATCTCACGAACGTTATCCAACCTGCGCAAGGTTGGAATCAAGGCAAGTCTGCTGTCAGCCGTCAATGAGCCAATGCTAACTTGAGTAGGACTACTTTGTCCAGATGCTGGTATGTACCTGACCGAACGATCCTCGACTTGGCTAACGACGCCTGCTCTCTCGAATAGTATATCGGTACGCTTCCTCGATTATCCGCCGAATCATCCACTGACATCCACAGGTGACACCAAGGCTGGTCGTCTGATTGGCACCGATCGCGCCGGCAACAAGTTCTTTGAGAACAACGAGGAACTCCCCCTCCGAACACGCTGGGTCGAGTACGCCAAGCACGACTACGACGCCGCTCAAATCGAGCCCGGATGGCACGCCTGGATCAGTTACAACGTCGACAAGCCTCCTACCGAGGACCCTCTACTAGTAACCGGTGTCCGAGCCTTTGAGCCCTCACGCCCCCTCCCCAACTTTACCCAGACCCGCGGCGCTTTCAAGACTTACAACACGTATGTTTCGCCTTCCGCAGGAGACAAAATTCTGACCGTTTTAGTTCCAAGTCCAAGATCTCGGCATGGGAGCCTGTGGCGGCGCCTCGGGCATGAGGATGAGTGGTCAGGTGTACATAAATTCGCGTAGAGGTTGAATCGAGAAACTAAAGCATTGAATTCAGAAGCTGCTAGTTCTACAGCTAAAAATGGTATAAGATCTAGAAAATGTGCACTCTATGGTCTTTCAGATCCTTCTCTTATACGAACTACATAAGAAATCACGATCTACGACTTTGCTTCAATTGTAGATTTGATGGCTAAATGGTCAGCGGAGTTTGAAGGCTGGACGGAATACTAACCTTCACAAGTCACTCTAGCGTCTCCAAACAGCATCTTTGTGTTGGGCATGTAAAACATGGGGTTTGGAACATCAGCTGCGCTTGTTAGCTGTATTCGGATAAGGGACGGGCGACTTACCATAACCGCTGGCCATGCCTCTCTTCATGACGACAACCTGCTTGGCTTTCCAGGCATGCAGCACGGGCATACCCTCGATAGAGCTGCCCTTTTCCAGAGCAATAGGGTTGACGGTATCGTTGGCACCAATGACAACAGCCAGGTCAGTCTCTGGGAAGTCATCGTTGATCTCGTCCATTTCCAGGACGATGTCATATGGCACACTGGCTTCAGCGAGAAGAACGTTGCACTGACCAGGCATACGGCCTGCGACAGGGTGAATGGCGAAACGGACAGTGATACCCTTGGATCGAAGTGTCTTGACAATGTCTGAAATGGCGTATTGTGCCTTGGCAACGGCCATACCGTAACCAACAATGAGAATGACCTTTTCAGAGTTGAGAAGTGCATCGGCAAGGTCATCCACAGAGGTCTGAGTGATTTCTCCCTGAGGTTTAAACTCTTGTACAGCAGTTGGCGTGCCCAGACCTCCAAAGAGAACGTTTGTCAGTGATCTGTTCATGGCGACGCACATGATGTACGATAGAATCGAACCAGATACACCGATCAAGGCTCCAACAGTGGTAAGAAGGGGGTTCTCCAGCATGAACCCCTCTGCAACAAGGGCGAAACCACTGTAGGCGTTCAAAACGGTGATGACGACGGGCATGTCAGCACCTCCAATGGCAGATGTGGTAGTGTATCCCTTGATGAAGCTCAAAACAGTGCTTCCAGCGAGTGCGCCTGCTGCAACCAAAGGGCTCCCTGGAGCCATTGTGATGAAGGCTCCCATGGTGGCTGCGTTACTTGCGAGTAATCCTGAGTTGATGATGTGTCGTCCAGGCAGGATCTTTGGCTTGGATGTCATCCTGCCGGCGAGCTTGAGGAACGCGACTATAGATCCAGTAAACGTGATACCACCGATGACGACACCAAGGTAGGCTGTGACGAGGTGAAGAGTTGAAGGGTCCATGACATCAGCCATGACACTACCGATACTGGTCAAGACAGCAGCAAGACCAACCACAGAGTGAAGAGCGGCAACAGTTTGAGGGAGATCGGTAGGGGTAATTCGCTTTCCAATGAGCATACCAGCAATGGTGCCGAGTGCAGCAAGACCGCCAAATTGAGTGAGGACTTCAGGGGTAAAGCCAGCAGCGAGAAGACTGGCCAATACACCTGTGCCGACACCGAGAATACCGAGAGCATTACCCATACGAGCAGTGGCTTGGGAAGCAAGACTGGAGACAGAACCAATACAGAGAACAGAGCTGACGAGGTAGCCGGCTTGAACGAGACCAGCAGCGCCAGTTGATGCAGCAGCCACGAAACCACCACCGCAAACAACAGCAGGAATTGCATAGAGCCAGGGGTACTCAGGGGGGTCAGTAGGTCCTATTCCTGTTAGCCAAGTCAAGTCAAAGATCGAACAACTCACGCTTGAACATGTCCAGCATACGCTTGGTGATCACGAAACCACCACCGACATTGACAAAAGCCAGCAAAACACTGAGAGCACCAAAAGCTTGAGGAATAGTCTCGGGCAGAAATCCACCTCCAAGAATAAACAAACCACCAATACCGACCATACCGGAAATAGCGTTGGTGACACTCATCAGAGGAGAGTGAAGCGCGGGAGCAACACCCCAGACAGCACGATATCCAATAAGACTAGCCAGAGCAAAGGTGAAAGCGTTGGACATGAGAAGAGGGCTGGTCCATTTTCCAAGAGCCAAGATACTGCCCATGCCAGCGGTGACACCAGCAACTTCACGGGTCTTCTTTTGCCAGGGAGTCAGAGCCACAGGTTCAGGGGTCACTTCGGTTGCCTCGGCCTTTACGGGCGGTGGAGGAGGTGCTGCGCGAGGAGCGGGGGGCAGAATATCTCCTTCTTGAGTGACGATTGCACCACGGACGACTTCATCTGATAGATCAATGCCGAAAGCGTTGGGTTCAGGGGTCATGGAGAGCAGAAACTTGGTGATGTTGTTAGAGTAGAGGGTTGAGGACTGAGTTGGCAGACGAGAGGGGAGATCAGTGTATCCTAAAATGTCAGTACTCCTCCATCAATGATAAGGGGTGTACATACCAATAATCTTGACATCGTTGTAGACGGCCAGTTCACCCTTCTTTGTAGCTTCACAGTTGCCTCCAGCTTCAGCAGCTAGATCGACAATGACACTTCCGGGTTTCATAACATCGAGGATATCGTTCTTGAGCAGTTTCGGGGCAGGCTTTCCAGGGATCAATGCAGTGGTGATGATGATGTCGACTTCCTTGGCTTGGTCTTTGAACAGCTTCATTTCAGCTTCGATAAATTCCTTGCTCATTTCTTTGGCGTATCCACCAGCTCCAGATCCATCCTCTTCAAGTTCAACTTCGATGAATTCGGCTCCAAGAGATTGAACCTGTTCGCGAGCAGCAGATCGAGTATCGAAACCACGGACAATGGCACCCATGCGACGAGCAGTAGCAATAGCACTCAAGCCAGCAACGCCAGCACCAATAACCAAAACCTTGCAGGGAGGAATCTTTCCAGCAGCAGTGACTTGACCAGTGAGGAATCTACCAAAGACATTGGACGCTTCGAGAACAGCTTTGTAACCGGCAATGTTGGCCATACTGCTGAGGGCGTCAAAGACCTGGGCTCGGGAGATACGGGGAATCATGTCCATGGCGAAACTGGTAGCTTTTCTAGCGGCAATCTTTTCGACGAGTTCTTTGTTCTGAGCGGGCTGGAGGAACGAAATGATGGTTTGGCCTTCTTTCATGGATTCAACCTCTCCGAGACCGGGACCGCGGACTTTGAGAACAATGTCTGAGTTGGACCAGACTTCCTTGGGTCCATTGACAAGAGTTGCGCCAGCTTTTTCATAAGCGGCATCGAGAAAATCAGCAGATGTACCGGCACCACGTTCAACGAGAACCTGCTTGAAGCCCTTTTTCTTGAGGAGTGCAACATTAGCAGGAGTGAGAGCTACACGGCGCTCCCCGGGGAAGATCTCGGTTGGAACACCAACGACGAGATGATCATAGGGAGTTGTCTTGGGAAGAACCACGGTGGAATATTTGCGAGAAGGCGCAGAAGCATGGCGGATCAATGCGAGAGGCTTAGAGACGTCTGCGACAAGAGCGTGCTGTCGAGGTGAAGCTCTCACGGTGCTGTGCCATTGCTTGCGACGAGAGAGGACATCTGCAGCTTATTAGCTGCGAGCTTCGATAGACGAAAAAGCCTACCTTGGACTCGATATCCTTTCAATTGCTTCTGTATAAAGAAGGACGAGGCGCACAGCTCGGAAGCTGACGCTGGGACCGCGGACGAGGCCAGCGGGCGAAGCATTTGGGACGCCATGATTAAAGAATCATGAGAGCGATTGCGAGACCGGAACGAGTGGATCTCTTAGCTCCGTCACCGAGGCCTGTGTATCCAAGAAGCGACAAAACAGTCAAACGCGAGAATTAAAAAAGAGAGGGAATAAAAACAAGAGACAAAACAATCGAGGGGTTGCGTTTATTGTCTCTGTGTCATGTGTCGGCTACCCCCCGTTCCTCCAGCTCCCGCAGCTCCCTCTGGACCCTACAGTTCTCCCGGGGTTCTATTAGCCGCCCCGGAAGAGGGGCTCGCCGCTAAAACCTGGGGGAGGGGCCGCAGCCATCCAACCGATGCAGGGTATCATCGAATCATAGACTATTTCTCACCAGCGGGAGCTTCGGGAGAATTTAAGTAGCGACATGTTGTGCATCCAGTCAGATGAGTTTGTGTCTACTGACCTGCCTGATCAAGTCTTGCCTAGACGCTTGGCTCCAAATGTAGATGGTTTCCCCTCCTCGGACGTTGAAATCCGGGCGTGAAACGGCCGAGATCATGATGGATGATGTAGTTGACGTGGGGTACGTTGCAGCGGCTTATCCATCGGCAGGTTAGTCTTTTGGTAGTGCCAGGACCCATTGATGCCTTGTGAAGGTATGATCTTGAGATGCTTGGTGTACTTGTGCAGGACTCGGTATTTACAGTTGCACTAGCCTGCAGAAACTCATCTTGTGCGTGCGTTCAAGATCTTGAGTTCAGTCACGCTCATGATCTCTTCACGCTCAAGCGCATCCTCGATTTAAGCGGATTAAAGACCAGATCATCGTCAATAAAGACCAGCAACAAGAAGCATCCATTTACGCACATATTCTGTCGATAATGAACATAGATCTATCGCTGAATGAGGCGGTCCAGTGACTGCAGGGCCATGGATACACAGGGGTTGTTCAGACTGAAGAGACGCAAATATTGTATCAATTGACTGGGAACCGTGTTGCTTACCTGCCACTGTCCTGTGAAGCTTGGCAAGATATAGATACTATTCATGGATCATCAGAGACTCAGGGTAGCACTTCACATGTACATTGCCAAAGAGAGGCACATCTCAATTAAGATCGCTTAATCTTTCCATCGGTTTAAGTTGAGAGACTTTTAAGCGACAGTTGCATTCGATAGGATCCATCAAAGTGGTAAGTATGTCCAGTCGATTATGTTTTAAAGATATCGTGGTGAGAACTGAGATGAGTGAGATTAACATTTTAAATGACACTGATGATTCACGCTCAACAAGAGTATCATTAATAAAACGGCAACCCAGCTGCTTTGATCCATTGTATAAGTTTGCATCAAATGATACACATTTTATCAGCTTTAATCTTGTTCCGCAGTGAGCTCAAGAATGGCGTGGAGATGAAGTCTCATTTACGAATAAAGGTCCCAATTGCTCTGAGCATTCTCACCCACGGAAAGCTCACTTATTTCCCGTGCATGCTTTCTTAATTCTCAGTTATTGTAAGGCACCACGTATTTTAAAACGGCTTAAACTTGCTCTCATCTCATGATGAGTGAGTGAACATTGGTTACAGGTTAACATCTGATAAGATTCCAGACTGCTGTCCCCATTAAGCCTAACGCTGGTGTAATGGTGTGAATCTCAACACCAAAATTGTCTTGTAATTTATTAATCACGAGAGCCTCTTCCACATGACCATAATCACCCAACTCATAATATGACTTTAATCGCTTTCTCTTCTCATCATCACTAATTCAACAATACCACCAACATGCCTCGGAAAGCACCTATTCACCACTTCTCATACCGCTCCCTAATCATCCCACCAATCCTCCTAGCAGCAGCAACCATCGTCGCTCTCTTCCTCCACTCAGACGTCAACTTTGCTCTTCTCTGGTCTCAATGCCACTCCCACGCTCGTCTCCCAGGCGTCAGTCGCATACCAGGTCTGGGGACACCTCTATGCTATCTCATCAGCTTCTTCCGCGCTGCGCTTCACTCACTGCGCAGTCGCGCGGTCATGGGCGTTGTTCTAGCATTTATCGGCGGTCTCTTGACTGTGAGCACCGTCGAATCAGCGCGTATCTGCAATGCGCCGAATGTTCTCATCGCGTATCCTACTGGTCCGTGGTTGGTGTTTGATCTTGTGGGTGGTGCTGTCGTTTGGGAGCTTGTTATTATTCCTGCGTTTCTGCATCGTGCGAGACGTGTTTTGAACGCACAGAGAGATGAGGGTGGTGACGTCCACCAGATATTTACAAGTCGTCATCTTCCTGATAGTGAGATCGTTGCTATTCCTATCAGCGTGGCGCTTGGCTACTTTCTTCCATCTTTTCTGATGCTGTTCTATACAACTCCCGAGACAATCGGCATCTGGCTCTTCTTCCCAATCTACGTCGAGATCATTCGCCAGATCATTCGTCACACTATCTCTGCATTGAGGAGGGTTGACCCAACATTCGTCCATCTCGCATCCAAACGGTGGTCTCTGCTGTTTGTGTACATACTGCCCTTGATCTGCTCCGTTCTAGCGCATGTTTCTTTCATCTGGAGCTTAACTCGACCCGACGACCGCAAAGAAATGACAAGGTCAATCATTGTCTTCATTGAAGTCAACTCCCAGTTCATCTTCTGGACCGTTCTGTACTGGATGTTGGTGGAGGTTGGGTGGCGGGTTCCTTTGACAACAATCATCACCTCCATTGCTGTTGGACCTGGCGCTGGAACGTGCGTTGGGTGGATATACCGAGAGAAGCTCATTCATCACGACAACGAGGAAAACAATGGAGACAACGCTCAAACAGCAGATGAGGAGACGCCTTTGTTGCAATGATGATACCCTGATGTTACTTTTATAGCCCTAATTCCTAGACATGCTTCATGACTGATCAATAGACTCGTATCTTTACAGTTGCAAGACTGTCATGTACAGGTCCAGACCTTCTATGGTACAGATATGATACAGATTAACCCACTCACCATGCTCAATCTTGTAGCCTTGACAATATCCTCTCTCTGATAACCTGTGATGCCACCACTGCTCCATGCTGTAATGTGATGGCACCAATGATGGCCATGATGGCGCCGTTGAGCACGACATCGGCACCAGAAGCTCGGAGTTTTTGGACCTACTGCGCGTTAGTCGAGTCACCGCGGACGGAAGATGTATGTACCTGTTTGGGCTTCCACCGCACAACATCGATCAGTCCCACTTCAGCTGCCAAACCAGATAGTCTCTCCTTGCCGACGACGTCCTTGGGTCCTTTGACAGAGAGATTGTCTACCGATTGTAAATTTGAATGCACGAATGGCTGGCGATCAAATCCGTCATCGAAACTCGGCGTTCCAATTGGACCTTGCGCAACAATTGTCTTTGTTGTCTCCATGACAAGAGTCATTCGTCCTGGTAGAGTCAGCATAGCCCAACAATTCTCCCTCGTCCCACCCACCCAAAAGTGCCAATCTGTCGTTGAACCCTCTCCTCCCCTGATCAAAGCTCTTGTGCGTGACGGCCAACCACTTGAGCTCCTCGGGCAGGAGTTTGCTGCCTCCAGGACCCAGCAGGCGCTCGTATACCTCGTCCAACTTCTTGGGATCGTTGTTGACAGTCCAGACCTTGTTCTGGGGATTCTTTGCCCAGTCGAGCTGCAGCGGCGCCTTCATAGCAGCAGGCGTCTGGCTCCATCGTGGCACGACACCAGAGGAAGACGGGGTCTTGGTCTTGAAGGATTCGGGTGTCGAGTCGGTAGCGTAGGTGCGCACGCAAGGAATGAGGGTTCGGGTGGCATGGCTGCTCCGCCAGAGGCCAGAGCGGCAGGGTTGGAGGGCCATGGTGATGAATGGGAAACAAGCCGGGCTCCAATTGCATATGATGTTCACCGAGATGGGCTAAATGTTAAGCTTGCGTGAACATTTTCTCCAGGTCACGTGGGGGAATGAGGCACCTGTCGCCCCACTCTTCAACACCAAGTTTACGCCGAGATGGATGATCTGGAGCCTCACTATTTCCCGCTAGGGTCATCATCGCTAGGCTACGCGCCGCGTTGTCTCTTATCAGAAATACGATTGAAATTAAAAAAGACAAGCCAATGATCTAGAAAGAATCACGTTCTACATGCAATCAGGGACCCAGAGGAATATATGATCAGGCCGAATATCATCGCCTAAATCAGATTTCCAGTGCAGGAGCTCCTCTGTGCTCACTCCTCGTCCTCGATGTTCTTCCCATCCTCATCCTTTGTGACGCCCTCTTTATCCTTGATGATCTTAACCTCTTCTCCTCCCCCCTCTCCATCCTCCTCCGTCTCAGTTACCTCGTCCTGGTTAAGCCCGTCGATGTATCCAACACACACTCTCATTGGATCCACGACAACCGGAACGTGGTAATCCCATCCATCTTTATGCCCATAAGCCACCAGCATAGGCGACACAACCAGTTCGACCGGATGACCATTGCATTCGGCTTCGTCTTCGAAGCCAACTGATCTCATCAAGGCTTGAGTGTCGAATCCCTCGGCTCTGGCTGAAAATGGAAATCCACAGGCCTCCTTGGTATTGGGGTCATGAAAGACAAGTTGAAGAGTCTGGCGACCGCAGTCGAAGCCTAGCTCGAACTCGGCAACCACCTTTGCAAGACGTGAGATCTCCTCTTGAAAGAAGAGGTCGGAACTCTCAGGGAAGTATTGGCCAAGCGCTTTCTCCAAGATCTTGACCACGCATCCCGGCTCAATCCTGACTTCATTGAAATACTCTCCTATCCGATTGGATCGTTGCTTAAGGGAGTAATAGAAATTGATTGTGGTGAATCGCCAGTTGGGATACTGGAAACGCAGGTCTTCCTCGTTGTAACGGAAGTTTTTCTCTATGACCAAGGTCAGTCCCACGAAATACGTGATTATATTCCATCTTTCTCACCTCGCAAGAAGCGTTCCATTGTAGCTTGAGCTTCCCAATACGGCGACGTCCACTCAATGTCCTGACTCTTTGTTGTGAAAATGTTCTCATTAATGATCTCCCAGACCCATCGTTCAAACATAAACTGGCGTACAAGAGGTGTCTCAAAGAGCTGTTGGGCATAGGGCGAATATCCAATAAACCTTTGCTGAGTGGCCTCGTCAAGTCTATCCCAGGGAAGATCCTTGAAACCAGCGGCCATTAGGAACACCCTAATGTGACTAGCAAAGTGTTTCCACTGCCAGGTAATGTAGCCTTGTCTGAAGCCTAAACCAACATCACCCTGAATAGCCCGTCGGAACTTTACAAGACCTTCGTCCTTCCGCTTACTTGATTCAGCGAGGGCAAGGTCACTCTGTTGCATTGCTGCGTTTAACAATTCTCTGCCCTGGAGAGAGAACTTCGGGGCTTCTTCTGATGCACGGTTCGGGACTGCATCTTTTGACGATGCATCGTCTGCCGATGGATCCTTTGGCGATGGCTTTGAAAAAGTCAGTTAAGAATGAATATAGATGGCTGTAAAGTGGCTACTTACTCTGCAGACCCCTGGGTCTGAAGGTCCTTCCATGGCGCTCTCTCCCATCTTTGTGTTCTGTTCTGGAACCGCCTCTTCCTGATCTTTTGACACTCTTGCGATCTTGGCGACTTTGTCTTGGTCAGGTTTACTGCAAGACTGCAGTCGCTTGGATCTTCGAGGGCCAGTCATGTTCTGAGAACAAGGAAGCGACCGCCACTGTGTGGGAAATTTGGAAGAAAGCAGGATTGTTTCAAAGTCTACCCATTTCAAAAGTGCGAGCAACCTTTCGCGTTATGTACACATCATTGTCTAAAGTTGATTGCCTCCTGGGGGGAATACAACATGCTGGCTTACACTAAACTCTAGTCTCTTGTTTCTTAACCCCCCTAGATTATCAAACCCGGACCACCTTTGTCATAGCAACACATGACTATGGGAGTACCGGATAAAGGAGTGAGTTTGGGTATGACAAGCGGCAGTGTGTGGCTGGACAAACAACGCCTCTGCTGGGATAGTTTCAGCTCTGTGGGCATCCGCTGCATTGACGAGGCAAACAGAGACTAGCATCATTGGCGTTGGAGAGGTGAGAATCAAGCCTGTTGATAAATCTAGTAGTACCTGTAATTTTATTTTTGTAATTGTACTAGAAGAGGGTGATGGAGCTCGTTTCTTTATTGGTAGCATCTTGGACAAAGAAACGACCACTCTCTATTCACACAGCCCGTGCTTCCCGGATGACGCCCTTTCCCCTTTGCAATATCGCAGATGCCGTCTCTCATTGGATTGACTGTCTTGTTTTGAATGTGTAGCTGGGGACATGTAACTGAGCTAACGTAGCTTCCAGCCGTGAGGCGGATATCCAAGCACGTCTCCGTTCAGAGTGCACTGATGAGTGGCTCTTTTGGAATACACTGGCCAGTGAAGTCTCCCTTTCCCGTTCTGCCTCGTTCCACAACGGACACTATTGGGATTGACCGACATTTCATTCTATTGATGCCTTGCAATGACCTCTTAACCGCGTGACTGGTCATATTGTTGCCTGTCATTTCCTCAGGCCAAAAGGCCTAGGCTGTGATGCATCAGATAATTCATCCATGCCCGGGCTGCAATGCTTGCGAGGTTCCTGTTTCAGGGCACTCATAAGACCAGCGCAACTTAAGCTCCCTCATCCATCTCCTGTCGGTCAGACACTACCTCCATTTACTTCAATCATCACTTAAATTCACTTTGATCAAAGAGCCAAGCGAGCATGGACTCCTCTTCAGGGAGCAGAACCCCCGTCGTTGTTGGTTTGGACCTGGGGACCACGTAAGTTTCGAGGGTGTCACACAGCACGACTCTTGAGACTCACTTTGCTCACTCGACTCTGTAGATTTTCCGGGATTTCATATGCGACATTGACGAAAATGGAAGTGAAATCCTTTTTCTAGGTCGACAGCCATCGATCACCAAAAACACCAACAAAACTCAGGGTTTTGCATCCAAACAATGTCGAGGATGCTGATATCAACATCGAATGGTTCAAGCTTGGCTTGCCTCACCCTGATGATCTACCATCAGGCATAAGAAACTCCCCCAAGTTCAAGGAATTAAACTTCACCAGAGCAGCTGCGGATGTCACAGCGAAAGATGCCACAGCAAGATTCATCAACAATATCTGGAAAGTTTTCCTTGACGATCTTCGAAAGAAGATCCCATACCCCTCTATCCAGATATCGGCCACAGTCCCTATGCTTTGGCCTGAGGACGCTTGTCGAGCCATGTATGAAGCCCTTCATCAAGCAGAGATTCTGAACGAGAATGTGGTCCTGGCTCCCAAATTTCTTGCTGAGCCAGAGGCTGCGGCTCTAGCATTTTTCTCAGACTCGCACTACTTCGAAGAAACAAACGTAAGAAACTTGCCGAAGTCTTGGTCCTCTGTTTACGTCTAACACTCCCATAGATCTCCAAGCTTAATCCAGGACAGACTGTCTTGATCTGTGACTGCGGCGGCGGTACCGTTGTAAGTTTCCCGTCACCCTACCTAAGATTTCTTGTTTCGTGCTCACCCCTCCTCAAGGACACCGTAGCCTACGAGATCACCTCCATCCACCCCTTTCGTGTCAAAGAAATTCGTCCTGGCCAATGTATCTTTGCTGGAGCTTGCCTCCTAGATGATGGATTCATGGAACTTCTAAAGGAAAAGGTCGAGACGATGATCTCTCCCCGGGCGTTCCAAGCTCTGACAAAGAATCAACTCTACGAGATAACATCCAATAGATGGGAGTTTGACATAAAGGGGCGCTTCGGAGACAATTTCCCAACACAGCACATATACCTCCCTATCAAGTGGGCTTCGAGCCGCCAGAGAAGAATGCGCGTTGGGGAAGGTGAGGAAGTGACATTCACCCAGTAAGTGACTGAGACCGGCGTAGTGTCTTATGAGCCACAGAATTTATACATCGTGCTGACGGTGAACTCAGCGATGATCTTGCTTCGATCTTCGACCCAGTTGTGGGAAAGATCACACACCTGATCGAGGAGGAGATGCTGGGCATTTCAGCCAAGCTTTCAAAGGATGTGACGGTGAGTGAAGTACCTGCAGAGCCCGTATTGAGAGACGCCCACTGACATGACCATCGCCAGCACCTCGTTGTGGCCGGAGGTTTTGGACAGAATGACTATCTACGAAAGAGAGTCGCAGAGACCGTGGCCAGAGTTTCTCCCACCACGAGTATCCTCAGCTATCCACCTGGACATGGGTAACTCTCCCAACTTTACTTACAAAATGATAGCTGACGGTGCCTTGAAGATGGAATGCAGTGTCCATGGGAGCCGTTGCCCACGCTCTCCAAGCGCAGGCGATGCAGCAACCGGTCATAGTAGCCTCCAGAATCGCCAGATCTGGCTGGGGAGTCAGTGTCGACCGCAGAAACTCAATCTTCTGGCTCGTTGGCGAAGTTGGTCTTTCTTCCATGTTCATGCTATTGGCACAGTACTAATAATCCTCCAAATAGAACGAGTCTCTTGGTGCCACACAACCCAATCTGCGACTGATACCCCCCGAAGCTCTTTCTCCCGACGATCGCGCCGGCAGGGACGGCTTTAGTATCCGTGTCTACAGTAGACAGCTCCAGGGGGAAGCACCACGCACTCGAGAAGTCTGTATCCTCAGCTGGAAGACCCGTGATGTTGGGTTAAACTCCGACATGAAACCTATTCTGAAGGCCGATTTGCAGATCGGATTTAAATGGGACGGGGCGGCGATGGATTTCTCGCTGTTCTATGGCGGTGTTGAGCAGAGCTCGGTGGAGGTCAAGCACCCTTGGGACGCTTGAGCGCTTATTGGTCGCGATAGAAGCAGATCCTGGTATAAATGACAGGACTTATCTGACAATTTCTTTCCTTGAGTCGTGGTTGAAGAGTGTATGTGCGTGGATGTGCCAGAGCGATGCGATGTACCAGTGCAGATCGATCCATGCCCCCAGAACATGACTGATGCCATCTCCAATCGGGCTGATGCCTTGTTTGAACCTTGAGGCTTGGAAATGGCAGATTGTATAGGTAGGTAGGTAAGGCATGCTGGAAGTTCATCAAAGGAAGGAAAAGACCTGAATGCGGGGATCACAGTTGCCAAACCTAGCTACAGCGAACTTCATTTCCAAACTGTGGCTACCTCGAAGAGAATTCTTTCCATCTTCCAAAGTCTATTTAAAATAACTGTATTCAACCTATGGCGAAATTTCCGTGGTTTGGGCTCTACATATTTGGCAAGTGGTGCTTGATCCCATCCCTGGAGTACCTACCTATGGAGCTAGGTGAGCTTCACGAGAGAAGCCAGTCACCACAGCTGCTTTCCCAACCGATCAGCTGGCATGTCCTACAGAACTCCAGTTTTCCAAAGTCCACTTCATGCCTGACCAAGGAGGAGTCTAGTGGAAGGCGGCGGTAAAGTCTTGGGAGCTTTCGCTGACCTTGAAGCCAGCGTCGACTTGGGAGCTTCTTGAGTCAAAGGTGGCCGAGCAACCTTGGGGGTATCAGAAACACGTGGCGCGAAAGCAGTAGCCAGAGCTCTAGCGATGATGGGCGCTAGAGCGATCGCTGGCAGAGGTGCCGACAGTGGGATGGGAGCAGCATAGGGCATATGAGCAACTCCAGGCACAACCCGAGCCACAGAAACTGGCACCACGACGGGAGGGGATGCTACCACTGGACTCTTTGCAGCTGTCGGAATGACAATGTTGCCCACCAAAGTTCGAACATTTGGAACAAGTGCGACCTCGGGAGTCGATCGAACTTTGGGTACACGAACTACACTCGGTGTCATTCTGACAAGAGGAGCATTGACGACGGTCGGAGCAACTTCAAGCACGGGCGTTCTGGCGACATCGGGAGTGACATTAACTTCTGGAGCCGGCAGAGTCTGCGAGACCTGACGTGAACGAGGAGCCGCATCGGTGGTCGAAACCTGTCGAGAGCGAGGTGTGATACCAACACGAGAGACTTGTCGCGAACGAGGTGATGACATCACAAGAGGACTCTCGAGGATAGCAGGTAAGATTCGTGCTGGAGTCTCTGGGCTTCCTGGTGATGTGCCAGTTTTTGGAGGGGTGATCCAACCAACTTTCACGGGGTCGCCATCTGGTATCTCCGTTGCAGTGGGGGTGACAGGACGGTTGAGAGCTGAATTCGATCCCTGACGGCGAAGAGGAGTGTTGGAGCCCCGCCGGCCCAGTGCTGGAGTTGTTGGACGGCGGCCGAGGGTAGGCGTCGTTGGTCGGCGAGTTGGAGTACTGGAACGTTCTGGCTGTCCCTTACGAATGGGGCTGGTTCGTCGTTGAGAGGACTGTGTGCCCATTGCATAGCGAGGGGAGTCGGCCATATCGACACGGATGTAAGTGATGGAAGAAGTATTCTTCTGGCTGATCTTTAACAGGCACAACTCGAAGGGAAACTGAGAAGTGTCCAGCTCAACTGAGAACTGCGGCATTATATGCCTTTTGCAGGCTGCCAACTCATCATCCCCCACAATCAGCTTCTCATTCTGAAACAGAATTCGCGGGAAAGTCCGGGCGGACGGTCGCTTTGCTTTTTTGGATGACCATGAGGAGCAAGAAAATATCAGTCCTTGATACAGGATGTGAGCTTAGCAAAATTATCCTAAGCTTATCCTAAACTTATGCTAATTTACCTAGGTCTTTTTGTTATTCAGGATCAAGGCCCTAGGTTTTGTTTTCTCCCCTAGGATGAGTCAACGTCAACTATTCGTCAATCATGAGGCAACTCGATCCGTTACCAGGATCTCTAAGTTCACCCCTGTCTTGACGGGATTAGCTCCCGGATGACGTGCAGCTCTAGTGAGACTGGGGTATCCCTGTAGCGGATCTATGGATGTTGATAAGTATCACAGCCTTTCTATCAAGCAAGCATTCAGCAGCTAATTGTAGCACAGTTCCGAAACGAGTAAAGTTGAGCATTGGTACTACAAAATCGGCACTACTTCATCTTCCTCCAACTGCTCTTGCCACTCACTACCGTTCTCTTATTCTTCTCTGGAACCGTGTATCCGCTGTCCCTCTCTAATCTATGTCTTTCCCAAAAGTCACTCATTTCCTCTCTCAAAACTCTCTTCCCACTTCTTGAGTCCCTCTCCTCCCTCTGTCGCTCATTGCCTTGTGGCAGCATGTCGGCCACTTTTGCAACAGCAGGCTTACACAATGTTCGCCACACCCAGGACATCATGTGTCGGTACACATGGGCAAGCCATTTGATCAGAAGTCGAGCATTTGTGCTAAAAGCTGCCACAAGAGAAAACACCACTAGGGCGAAACTTGCGGGCAACGAGATTGTCCCGATGGTCTTGAGCGACAGGTTATTCTCACCGCCCCATTCTTGAGTGTTCATACCAAAGAGACCGGTAAAGAAGGTCAACGGGAGGAAGATGACTGTAAATGTGGTAAAGATCATGACACTGCGACTTTGTGCACTTGCAAGGTCGGCATGAAGCCTACTCAGCCGTACCTCGTCAACCTGTGCCTGTCGCTGGACCATCTGAAGGAGTTTGTCGTAGTCGTTTCTTGTACTCCGAACTCTCTGAATCATCTCCTGAGCTTGGTGTGTATACTCCGAGACCTTCTTGATCGCTTCACTCAGGAACAGTCTTCCATTTGCAGTACGGTCACGCAGTTCCGGGCGAGTGTAAGTGGAGAGCATAGAGCTGACGACTTTAGACTGGCGTTCAAACAGATGAACCAGAATCAAAAGTTCATCTTCGATATCTCGAAGTTCAAGGAGAGCCGATGTGTTGTCCCGGTTATCCTCTTCTGCTCGACGGCCCTCAGCCTTATGGCGCGCTCTGATGGAACGGGCCTTGTTCTCAACTGGCTCGTAGGCTGACGCTTTGTCACGGAATCCCTCGGCGCGAAAAGTTTTGAGCGAGGAGGTGAGTTTTTCGGTCTAAAGGTTAGCAAGGTTAAAAATGATGGCAGCGTGATTCCGCGCAGGTGACATACTAGAACGCTGATGGCCTCTTCAAATATTCGAAACACTTCTAGGTCTGGGTGCGAGGATCTGTCGAGGAGGACTGTAACAGCATGGAGGACTGCTAATGCCGCCAGGTCCAGAGCATTTTCGCATTGTCGGGTGAGATCGACGTTGACTTCGTTAAAGATGCTGTCGCGAAGATCTGCCTGCTGATACAGAGGCCCTTCAATAGCATCACCCTCTCGTTTCGGGAAGAAGGAGAGTAGGGTATCTACAGGTCAGCTGAGTTCTATGCAGGGATAGATAACTCACGAGTGTCTATGGCCCAAAGCCACAGCTGATCCACCATGAGAACATTGCCATTGAGTATAGAGTCCTCGCAACCCTCCTCGTCTTCCCCGTCCTGGCTACTTGTCTTGGATCGTCGACTACCGCTCCCGCTACTCCCAGAGCTACTGTTTGACATTTGTCCATGAAGTCCTGGTCCCAAACCGGGAGCGAATGTCCGTTCCTTTGTCAGTTTATACAGCATCTGATCATCGTCTCGCGACCGAGTGTCCCTCAACGATGGATATCCGTATTGATCTAGTGTTCGACGACAGTTGAGCGGCGGATCGTGGCCCAAAAACTCCCAAATCACCTGTGATTCAAGGGAATCAGACTTTGCCACAGATTCGGGGACAGGCCTAGCTCGTCCATGACCGAGGCGCTGAAGGATGAGTTCTCGTCGGCGAATGAGTCGTTTGTACGAGTCAAAATGAAGATATGGGAGGAAGAGACAAGTATAGATTCCACCCTCTGGTTTGGGTGATATCGATGACTGTTTTGAAGATCGGCCTCGAGGTGACACTACATGGTCAGCTTGGATTTCAAGGTAGGACTCAACTTACTGTGCCGAGGAGCTGAAAAGTAACAGCCTGGTTTCGCAAAATACGCATAGTGCTGAGAGTGCCGCCCTCGAGAATGCCTCGTTGCCCAGAAGTCATTGTTAAACAGGGGGGCATAGTTGCGATTGTTTGCTGTCTGCAGAGTCTCGAACATTTTCTACAGAGGTCAGTAATCGTATGAACCAACTGTCTTCAGACTGCTTACCGTCACCCAGCTAGGATTGTTGTATGGCAAATGAACCCACATAAACTTGCGAGTCTCGATCTGAGGCTTCGAAAACGCAACAGGTACTTCATCCACGATTACTGTCTCACTGGCTCTCCTCTCACCATTATTCGCGGCCTTTCGGATAGCAACGATCGCTTCTGGCAGCCTCGGGGATGCATCGGTATCATCGTCGTCACTGAAGCCCTCGATTGTACTTCGACTTCGCTGCGAGAATGGAGGAAAGTCTTTGTACTCGTATTGTGAGGCTTGGGTTCCCATGCTGACAGACCTACTCAGAGATCGCCCCATTCTTCCTCGAGGAGGAGGTGACAGACGGTCGACAGCCAAATCCTGCTCAAAATTGGCACGGATAAGTGGCGAAGGACGTCGCATTGGTGTTGAGTAGTGTGTAGGTGGTGAAATAGCCGCCGGTGATAAAGGCGTGGCAGGGGATCTTGCTCCCGTTTGAGGTGCTGATTCTGATCTTGTCTTTTCTGCATCAACAGGCCGTATGATAGGGGATGCAGGAGGAGACTCGACAGATCCCTGCGAGATCCCAAGGGGATTGTCGTGTGTTTCACCAGCAACTTTCTCAGTCGGCAGCATGGCTGTCTTCCCTCGATTCCTCAAGAATCTGCCTTCATCAACTGTCTCGACTTCGTTCAACCTCTCAGCCAAGCACTCCTCTGGTCCCTTTCTCAAGAAATCTCGAAGCGGCAGTCGTGTAGACCAAGCTCGAATTGTCGCCACATCCAATGGACCTGGAGGATCTTCAAAGAATCCGTGGACCTCGACGTTGACCTTTTGCTCAAGATTCAGAGACCAATTTCCGTCCTCACGAGAGTACTCGTCTGCACGACCGATGAGAGCCGACAACTGCTTCAGGAACAGGCGCATCGTGTGCACGTTATGCCGCCCGAAAGAAGCAATATTCGCATGATCACTCTGAAGTGGGAGAATGGTCTCTTGTCGCATGCCGAGAATAGCAGACTTGATTGAGGTTAGTGGTGCAGTGAAGTAGACATCTCCCGAGCTGCCTGAAAGACGAGAGTCAATGGTCTCATAAAGCGTCCAGATGCGAAAGTCGTGTGCTATCGATTTGAAGTCGTCGTCCAGTTGGAGGAGCAGAGTGTTTCCCACACGAAGATCGTCGGTTATTGATGTCGGCATAGGAGCTGACAATTGAAGCAGACTCTGAATACCAGTTGCAAGACTCGGCATGGCAAAGTAACTCGATCCTTGATGAGGAGTGCCTATTCTGTTAGCATGGGTCAACCGGAGATGGAATACGTACCAAAAAATGCAGCACCATAACACTGTCGGTATATATCCTCAAACGACGGATCTCTGCTTGCCTTGGTCAACACCATCTTGACAATGATACCGCCAACGCTATGCCCCACAAACACAACCGGTCTTTTCTGCTTCTCTCGTTTTCTCAAACTTTCCAGCTCCTCCAGCAATGAATCAGCCAGGGTACTCAGTCTCGTCTCCTCAGTCGTCGACGGATGCTCATACAACAGAATCCGAGCTCGATCCGCTTCACGACGAAGTCCTTGGCGAACCCATGATGGAGCCGGTCGGTCAGCGTCAGTTGCTGCACCTTCGGCGTCACGCATAGACAATGCTCCGTAGTATCGACTCATCAGGCCATCGCGACTCCATGTTCGAAGGGGATCTGCTCCAGGGCATGGGACAGTCACAATGTCGACTGTTGTTTGATCATGAGTGAATTCACCTTCCGGATCAATAATAAATCTGGCCTTTGACACCTCAGTTTCCGTCGAATCTTCGCTAATCTTTTCAGGTTCTCTCTCTGTCGTGTAATCATTCAGTGGCGGAAGTTGACCCGGGGGACTTCCTGGATTTACATGAACCGAGTCCTTGTCATTGCTGAGCTCCGGCTCGGGTGAGTCCACTGTATCCATATCAACACTGTGAGTCCTATAAATTTCCCGGCGTCTTTGCCTGGGGAGTTTTGGTCGAGAGGCTTGAGACATGAGAACGTTGAAAGTCATGAACTGATGGCTTTGTGAAGTATCAACGGTATACATATCCTCAACAGTCACTCCGAGTCATCCGCACAAAACATCAGCCTGGCTTAGCCCGCTCGTGACAAAAGTCCATTTCAAAATAATATCCGATTCCCATATCAATCGCTGATGTGCTAATATTATCTCTGTAGGCTGACCCGTAGATCCCATAATGTGGGGTGTCTGAGACAAGGTTAGTCAAATGACTGCACCACCTGGACCGTTCCGATGACTGCCTGCTAATTTCAACCCAGTGCCCACCAATGCTTTTAAAACACCATCGAAAATAGCATGTCGATATGCGATGCCTAAATGCGCCCTCAACTCCGGTCAAAAAGTGTATCAGACCCAAACGCCTTTATTGCAGTGAAAAGTCCCCAATAGCAGTGCAGTGTACCACAGAATCTATGTACAGTCTATTCTCGACCTTGCACGTCTGGCCGGGTCTAACAACAAACATGCCGTTGGGGCCAAGATTGAACGTCTTTTCGTTCATGGTGACCCGAATCTTTCCTGAGGCGACGGAACATGTTCGCAGTTTGTCGTCTTCAACAGCCCAATGATTAGCGCTGCCGGGCTTCAAAACCATGACGTTAAAGCTGACGTCCTCTGAGACAGTGACGGGCTGACCACTGGTGAGGTACGAGTTGGAATAGGCGACGTCTGATATGTTAGCTGGGCCTTACAGACAACGGGAGACTCACTGTCTGAGGAAGATTCATCCTTTATCCTTCCTGGAGCAACCTCCCAATCCTCCATTTCCAATTCAACACCTGTCTCAGGTCTGCTAATGACGGCTTGGTCTCTTATGGTAACGTCATTCGCAGAGGAGCGTCTTCTCTTTCGCTTTGGCTGGACTTCGGTTATGGCATCGACACCTTCATAATCGTCGAGATCAGTGGATCTATATGATAGGCCAGAATCAGAAGAAGATCGAGATGAACCAGAAGCCCCTCGTCCAACTTTTGGCTCAGGACACCAGTCGCAGCCATTTGAACATCCCTGCAGATGACTCCAGTATCTACATCCAACGCAAGACTCTAGAGCAGAAAAGGCTTGCTTCGCTGTCGCAGACAAGCCAATTGGGAGACGGATACAAGGTTGCGACAGTCGTGCAGATTGCTGAGTGTTATTGACTGTGCACTGCTCACTGCCTACCACACCAGTACCCACGAGATATGCCACTGCACAGGAATAGTGAGTGATATCCAGGTTGCTTCCCCGGTGGGTATGCTTCCAACCCTCAGGCAGCTCACGTCTGCGAGGCAATGTCAGCATGTAATTGATGTCCTCTCGTTGATGAGATTTTTGAGCTGGACTGAGGTGTCGGTGGAGATATTGCTTAACCTCCGATTCTTGCATTGCTTGAGACCGGTAGGGGGAGTCCCGCGAGCGTGTTGTCTTTCTCTCCTGCTCGGCAGCTCGAGATACTCGGTTTTGCTGGAACGTGGCGAATGTCGACAATCCCGGGTCGACTGGAGGTGGTGCGTCAGGAGGAAGTGGGTTTCTGGAGACAACAATTCCAGGTGTACCCCCGGGACCATCCTTCTGATAGCTACCGACCTTGGTCAACGTGCCATCTCCGTTGTCATTGAATGTCGTTGAGCAATGCCCAGCGCCAAAATGTCCACCAAGACCATTAAGTTTGCCAAACACACGGCGACAATCTCGTACAGGACATATGTATGGAAGCTCAGGGTCGTCGTGAAGTTTGTAGTTTGCCGGAATAAGTGCCCCCCGAGCAGAAGTAGCACCACCCTCAGGGACTAAGTATGTTAGAGTAGCTCAATGCAGCGGTGGGACGACCTACGAGGATACACAGAGTAGGCTCGACCAGGTTCAGCCAGAATGATTGCTTCCCATCGGTTATCAGGTACCAGAAAGTCGGGCGATCTTGCTGGTCCAGGTGTTGGTGATGGCGTCCCTTGGCCAGTGTACTTTTTGAGCAACTCTGCCCCGGTGAGAGAGACTACCGCAGATTGAGATGAATGATGCATGGCGCTCTTCTTGATAGCTGCACTGTTGATATCTGCCAACTGTCTCGCGACCTCGGCTTCCGTAAAGCGACGAGCTTCGCGAACACGGGCGTAATCAGCGGGAGTCCTTTTGAGGATGACGGATGAAAAGTCTGGATGTGAAAAGGTTGGGGTTGAGCTTCTCTTTCGAGGCATGGCTTGAGATGCAGGTGCCTGTGAGAAGTATTGTGCTGGTCATGTCAGAAATGAACGGCGTCCGAGAAGAGACGTACCCTGTCTACGTTCCCATTCAGACTGAGCTGCTTGGATCCGAGGGTTGCTTGATAGGATACTAGCCGCTGAAGCTTTGACTGCTGCGCTTCCGATAATGTCGCTGACGATACGTGAGGGTTCTGGGATGTTGACCTTGGCTGAATTCCACGGTATAAATCCTGGGTTCTGTTTCATTGAAGGGTCTTCATTGGCGGACATGGTAGGATGTGCATTGGCTGGAGGTTGCAAAAAGTCCCATGAGAGTGAGAAACGGACTGAAAAGGAGATGAAGGAACGAATAAGAAGCCCAAGTCGGGTTGCACACAGATGAGATGAGTGATCAAGTGAGTGAGCGGATGATAAAGTGAATTGGAGACGCGCCGACGCGAATGAGGTTATAGCGCGGTTAAGGGCATGATGTACCTCCCTGCGGAAATAAGCTGTGAGGTACCTTCAAGGTGCCCAACAGTGCTCCATCAATTAACATGCATACCTAGATAATTAATACCATTGAGCATTTATAACGAATACCCAAATGCACTTTAACAGCAGTTCATGATTTCGACATGTCTCATAATGTACAGCTATACATACAATTGTCACCTATTCTACAGCAGCCTTTCCATCGCATCTAACCACTATTTCTTCTTTGATGCCTTCTTCGCCTTCTTGGCTTGCTTCTGGCTGAGCACCTTGACAGCCTTAATCTCCCCACCGCTCTCTGCCCTCTTCTGCGCCGCCTTTCTCTGTCCCTCGAGTTCCCTCTCTCGCCTCCATCGTCTATGTCTGAACCACTGCTTGCGCGTCCTGAACCTCTTGGTCTTGAGGCCCGTCGTCTTGGCCAGCTTTCCGATGGCCCAGTTGTCTTCACGGTAACTGTAGTCCTTTCGCAGCTTGAGCAATCTGTCTGGCTCGCCCGCTTCGACACGGTTGACCTGGAAGGGGATTCCGGACGGCGAGATCTCGGGCTGCGCGGCGACTTCTTTGATGGGGAAGGCGGTCATGTTTAGTTTTCGCTTGCGTTGGGCGTGGACGGGATATGGCAGTGTGTCGTTCTTGTCAAAGACTACGCCGATGTATTTACGGTCGGGATGTAGTGAGGGATCGCGGTAGTATTTGACGTATCCGGTTGCCATAGCGTGAATGGTGTGGTCTCGACCCATGATGCAGTTCTCTCCAGGCCACCAATGCGTACCGCGCTGCTTGTAGAGGATGTTTCCGGGAATGACGAATTGATCTAAAGGTCAGCCAGTCCAGTCCATTTTTCGAGGTCAACACACCTCCTGTACGCTTTGCACCGAGCTTCTTTGGAATACCCCTCTTGGGCTTCTTCTTGTATGCACCCTGTGACTTGACCGAGGCAAATCGATGACCTTGGACGAGGGAATTGGCCAATTGGACACCCAGAGGAGCGACAGGTGTGAACGCCGGCCTGGCTAGAGTAGCCACAGCAGCCAATATTGGCCGCTGCATCGTGAGGAACCTCATGCCGGCGAATTGTGACGATATGGGCTGAGCGAGGTTAGCAACGCTTGATCCTCAATTGATGGAGTTTTTGCGCTTAGTCATCGCTTATCGATAAGCTTGTGGACAGCTTCCCTAAACTCCAGCTGTAAGGTAACATCAACATTGCTCTGTAAATCATCAACAAAATGCGGTACCTTTTTGCTGTTCTGTCTCTCTTGACGTTGGTCAATGCCCAATTTGGCGGCTTCTTTGATCAGATGTTCAATCAGCAAGGAGGTCACGAACATCATCAAGCGCAACAGCAAAACAACCCAAGCGATGCGAACCACTACAAGCAGAATTACGAGAATTGTAGGTACATCTACCACTTTTTGACTCTGCTAACATGTTCAGCTGTCTGCGATAAATACCTCTGCCCCGATACCCTCGCATGCGTCCACTTTCCTCACCACTGTCCCTGCGCCTGGGATGCTCAACAGGAAAAGTTCGAATTAGCAGAGGGACAACGTCTCTGTGTTTCTCGTGGTGGATTCCAGCCCGGTGAAACAGCTCGAAAGATTGAATTGGCAAGAAAAGGATTACTGTGAACCAACGACAAGCATGACACCACGAACGACAATACGAGTGATAACCGGTAAATATTAGGAAATGAAACATGCCTCTACCGATAATACTATGTGCCCCTTGTCTCCATCAGAATCTTGAAAGCGAGCGAGTAATCAGATAACCTCACACTCCTCCTCTGCCAACGCCCAATAATGATATCCTCAAAACTCCATCCTAATGCCCTAGCCAGTTCACAGCCGTCGTCATGCCTCCCCAGCACCCTACGCAGTACCGTTGGCCACGCGCGGTACCTGTGGCACAGGCGGCACCTCACCCTCGTCATCCTCATCCTCATCCGGGAGCGTCTCGGGGTGGCCCAGGAGCTGGGCCACATTCTTCATTTCGTAGTGCCTCTTTCGGAGCTGTTCAAACTTTCTGTGCTTCTCACGCTCCTCGGGAGACATGCCCGCCAGCTCCTCCTCCGCGTTGTGCCCGATGCTGCTCTCGTCGTCGACGTGGACGCTCTTTTCGCTGCGGGGCGACGGCGCGCCCGCCTCCGGGATCTCCTCTTCCGGTTCGCCCAGCGAAAGGCCCGGAATGTCATCCTCACGGCTTGGACGTGAATTCTTAAGACGAGCACCAGCGTCCGCCAGAGGATCCTCGTCTTCGTCCGACGGGTCTTCGGCGGGGTCGTAGTGTTTGGCATAGGGAGTCTTGGGTTCTGTGATCTTCATGGTGGAGGAGCGCTCCTGCTCCGTGAGGTAGAGGTTTGCCTCGTCCCACTTGAGTCGCTGGGAGGGTTCGAGAACGTCTCCGATGGAACTGTTGGCGCCTGATTGTCGGCGGGATCCAGAAGGGCGAGCCCCAGAGGAAGAACGACGGTGACCAGCGTTGATCTGAGTGTTGGCGATGGTGAGCTCCTTATCGCTGGCAGGCTGATCGTGGTTCGGCGAAGTGGGAGGGGATTTTTGATACGAATTCTTGAGGATGCCTACAAACGTTAGAGAGGTCACAAATAGTCTCAGACAACTCACCTCGAGGTCGTTGAGGAGGATGGGCAGGAGGCGAGTGCGCCGGGGGAGAATCAACAGCAGAAGCCATCTTGGTATAGTCGGAAGCTTGAGTTGAAAGGGTTAAAGCCAGAGCTCAAGCGCAAGGCGTTTGTATCTGAGATAAAGTGTGGTCTGAACGTGGTTGTTTGCCTGTGATGTAGTCGCGAGATCAGGTTGAAAGACGAAACCCTGTGCTCGTGAGCAGATCATCAGTAAAAAGAGGCGGGGAGGGCCCTATAAGATCCAATCCAATGACGCAGTGGCCTGAGACCCCAGGATTTGGAGGGGCTGGGTACGTACCCAAGCCTTGATTCAACGGCGGGTGATGCTAAACGGACGATGGCGATTTATGAAGGATAATAAGAATTTTGCTGCTAATCCCGTTATTCTAACTCTTTTCAGTCGGGGGTTTTGGGTCGTACATAACGGTTGTGACTGGGAATACCCTTGTCGTCCCATTTTCTAGTACACCCTCTTTGATGCAAGAAACATCTGGAATATCGTGAGATAACGCACGTGAATGCACGAACGAGTTGTCTCGATTTAAATGTTTATTATTGTAATTGTATTCTTGTAAGCTTATATCGTAAATATGGCACTTGTTATCAAAATATCTGATCTTTTGATCGTATCGTCAAATTGCCGGCCTCGAAATACGTCATTTTCACAACGAAGGGATCGTCACACAGCCGAATGTCTAGAGGGGAATGGTTGGATGCGATGCAACGTCGTTCGTCATTCGAAAAACCACTCAAACTTGGTTGATTGGCCATCTCTACGATGAGATGAAACGATATTGATCTTGCCTGGTCTAGATCTTGTAAACCGCTCACGCCAGCAGAAATCAGCGGCATATGCATTTGCCAGCAGTCCAGATAATGCAGTGCAGAAGCATGCCAACTAAACAGGTGAGTTGTGAGTTGTTCTCAATCATCTGCGCTCAGTGTCCTTTCTCTTGAGAAACCAAGTCTTGTCGTCAATGTCAGCGTTATCACTCCTCAGAGACCAATTCCTGTCCTCTAACTCGGCGTTCTTTCTCTTCAAAGCCCGATTTTCATCCTCAAACTCGGTGTTCTTTTTCTTGAAAGCCTGATTCTCAGCTTCCAATGCCTCAACTCGCTCCATCAGACGCGCGATCTTTCGGACATTGTCCTTCTCCTGCGAAGCTTTGTCGGTGGAAGTCTTGTCGGTATAAAGATTGCCTAAACTTTTGTTAGCAGATAAACAATCAAGGTCCCCGCCATTGCGCCTTACGTCTCAGCTGAATGTGGTCGTGAGCTGTCTCAGCAGGGTTTCTGGATGCGTATCCTTCATACGTAGCAATCGTGTTTTGAGCACTAGCTACGGCAGCGCGTCGTCCTGCTCGACCGAGTCGGCGAAGATTCTCGTCTTGGAAAGCCATTTCCGATTTGTGGAACGACTTCCCTTTGTTTCTGTACGACGAGCTCATCTCGGTTATTTTTACAGGAATAAATGATCGTGTATTTCTGTCAAGTACGTCAGTGTCTGTGAACATTGGAGCGGGAGGTGAACATACATGATGAAAAAGATAATAAATAAATGCAACGATCAAGGTGCAGGTGCCGAAACGGCAACATGATGATGTCTGTCTAATGCTGCATAAAGATGTTGGATGGGAGTGAGGAGGCAGCAGGAGTGAGAGGAAGAAGAGAGGATAATTCAGGGGGGCGAAGAGGCATCGTGAAGCAAGTGTCATGAATCAGAGTGGAAATCATTAAGCGGCGACAGCTGCTGGCACTGGTAAGTTTATAGGCAATAGACGTTTTGGTTTGCGAGTGTGTCTCCTCGTATGTCTAGCCTCTCCCATGGATTGAGGTGTTCTCCTTCGCATTCCTCGTAAACACTTATCAGTAACCAGCCAGGCGCAACAGGCTGGGCAATTTGTTTCTACTCATCACTGGCAGCTCCTGGGTAGGGACCTCTGCACCAGACTCATTCTTAACATCACTGATCACGATGAGTTCGCTAACTACGTATCAATTTAACTAACTAACGATTATACGCTTCAGACTGCCTAATTGACGACATACTTACCGACATATCTAGACTTTAGGTTAATACCTATCCATCCAGCTAATCGGAACTCTTCTCATTGTGGCCGCTCTCCTCATCACGGCTTCCACCCATGCTATAATACTTGCCAAAGACACGAGTCTCCAGATCAGAGACACCGCCTGTAGACTTACGAGCCTGGCGACGGAAATAGATACGCTTAGCCCATTTCCAAGATTCGATACCGAGGAAGAAGAGCACAGCCTCGATAAATACAATCCCCCATTCCCAGGAGATAGGGGCATGCTTGAAGACGACAGTGTTGAGTCCGGGAATATAAATGATAGGGAACATGGTAACAAAACCGGCGATGATAGCCCAAAAAAGGAAGGGGTTCCTCCAAACGTCATGCATCCACTGGGTGAAATACTTTTTGCTCTTGGGTTGCATTCGGAAGAAAGATCTTCTCATGTTGATCATCTCCCAGGCAAGGAACAGGGCAAACCAGGTCAGGCATGCAAAGGTTGTTGAACGGGCACGGAAAATGACCCTGCAGTCTTCACTGTATGTGTTGTTGCAGTCCTCTCCAATGTCTGCAGCGCCATTGCCGAAGCCGTAAAGGACGAGAACGAATGAGGCGAGACAAAGGGCTGACATCCAGAGTCCGTAGACGACCATATCGATCATCAGTTCGGGAGTAAAGACACCTTGTTTCAACTACAGACCGGTTAGTGAAATTCATGAAGGGAAGCGGGACACATACGTTTTGAGGAGGACGCTGCATGATATCTGGGGCGGCAATCTCAAAGCCAAGACCCATATCAGGCATACCAGATGTGATCATGATGATCCAGAGAATCTCAACTGGCGCAAGAGGGAAAACCGACAGATTATTCTTATCCTTAAAGACGAGACCGATCAGGAGTGTACAGGCTTGGGCAATATTCTCAGCCAAAACGTGCAGAATAAACTTCTGAATGTTGTCAAACATTCTTCGGCCTTCTTCAACAGCGTTGAGAATAGAAGCAAAGTTGTCATCAGTCAAGACAATGTCGGACGCTTCCTTGGCAACATCAGATCCAGCCTGTCCCATAGCAATACCCACGTCTGATCGCTTCAAACTAGGCGAGTCATTGACACCATCACCGGTCATGGCGACGAATGCCTTGCGACGATGAAGAGCCTCAATCATACGGACCTTGGTCTGAGGGGCACACCGAGCGACGACAAGAGGCAGAAGGGGAAGTTGATCAATCTCATCATCAGACAGCTTGTCAAACTCTGAGGCAGCCATGACCATGACCTTGGAAACATCCTTGGGGATCTCAGACATCTTGGCAGGGAGGATACCAACTTCAAGAGCGATAGCACGAGCTGTTTCAGGGTGGTCACCAGTAAGCATGTGAACGCTGACACCGGCTTCGTGGCATTTTCGGACAGATGGGGCTGATTCAGGGCGAGGAGGGTCATACAAGCCGATGAGGCCACGGAAGACGAGATCCTTTTCGAAAAGTCCACGGTCAAGTTCAGCCTCGTTATCCTCAACATGGGGGATATCGGTTCGACTGGCGAGAGCAAGAACACGAAGACCGAGACGAGCCAGAGACTCCATGTTTCTCAAAACATCTTCCTTGATGGCGTCAGTAAACTCGAGGATCTCGTTGCCAGCAGCATAGACAGGGCAAGATGTCAAGACACGTTCAACAGCACCCTTGGTAAAGACCCATTGCTTCTGGGATTCGCTGTCGTGGAAAATGACCGACATCTTCTTGACATCTGAATCGAAAGGGAATTCGGCAACTTCATGCCAGCGGGGGTTGTCGCCAGAAGACAATCGCATGCGGTTCCAGTTGAAACGAGAAGCAAAGACTTGCATAGCAATCTCGGTTGGGTCTCCGCGAGCATGCCACTCGCCTTCAATCTCGTGGACAGTCGCAAGGTTGGCAAGTGAAGCAACGTTGAGATACTCGACCAGACTGGGGTCCTGGGCAGGCTGGGAAGCAGGGTCGATTGATGTACCTTCGGACTTTTCATTCTGAAAGTCGATGTTCTTGGGCTGATCCTCAGTGAGGGTGATGTCTCCGAGGGTAGGGTTGAATGGTTCATTGGAAGCGCCAACAGAGTATGTGCCACGTCCGGGGATCCAAGCTTTCTTGACGATCATGGTACCCTGGGTAAGGGTTCCGGTCTTGTCAGAGCAAATGTCTAAAAGGTTAGCTATGCATAACACTAGGTATATCATTGAGTGGTACTTACTAGTCACAGCGCCCAGAGCTTCCAAACTCTTGAGGTTACGGACAATGACATGTCTCTGGACCATACGCTTGGTACCAGCAGCCATAGTAATAGTGAGAACAACAATCAGAGAAGCTGGGATCATAGAGAGACCAGTTGCCACGGCATAAATGATAACTTCCCTCTGCGACTTGAAATCATTGGCTGCCAGAACAATAATAGCACACACAATAGCCGTTCCGAGAAGAATGAGTGCCAGCTTGGAGAGCTTGCGCTGAAGAGGTGTACCGACATTGACACCAAGGAAGCGACCAACAGCATCAGAACCGGTCAAGGTCCAAGCCTGCATCCAGCGACCAAAGTTGGTGTTACCCTCGGCATCCCTCTTTGGTTGTCGGCGCTTGGAAGACTTGCCACGAAGAGCAACTGCAATTTGACCAATCTCGGTATATGTACCGGTAGCAAAAACAATGCCGCGAGCTCGTCCTTTTGTGACAGTAGACGAGCTGTAAGCAACGTTGAGTCGATCACCAGGGCCAGTATCATCTGGAAAGGTCTTGTTGATCTCTTTGCGGACAGGTAGAGACTCGCCAGTGAGAAGTGCCTCGTTGGTTTCAAAGTTGACAGCCTCGACAAGACGGATGTCCGCAGGAATGGTGTCTCCCGTCTTGAGTTCTACCATGTCACCAGGGACAATCTCAGCAGTCACGACAACTTGGTTGTTACCGTTGCGGACAGCATGGGCGGTAGGAGAGCTGAGAGAACGCAAAGAGTCCATAGTTTTGGCGGCTTGAAACTCTTGGAGGAAACCAACGACAATGTTGAGGATAATGACTGCGGCTACTACACCACCTTCAATCCAAGACTTGATACCAAAAGAGGCAGCCATGGCAAGGATGAGAACCTGTCCCCCAAAGGGCAAATGAGCGACTCTACCGTTTTCTCTAAGGCTTTCTTCAAGTATACTTGAAGGAAGCCTATGGGAGGTAACTTACTAGAGTCAAGGCATTGGCGATCTGCCCGATAAAGATCTTGAGAGGTTGAACACCTTCTTGTTCACCGAATTCGTTCCGACCATACGTCTCGAGACGCTGCTTGGCCTCCGATTCAGTGAGACCATCATCGAGATTGCCATTCAGCTCCTGGACGACCTGCTCAAAGGTGAGAGCATGAGCAGGTGCCGACATGGGAGAGTTGGCTTGGCCCGAGATGTGAGGCTTCTCTTCTTCGTTCTGACCCATTGTGACAGTTGATGAAGAGGAATGAGTTGAGCAGACCAGAAAGAAGAGAGGGAGAAGCCCTTTTAAGCTGCACTTTCACAGGGGATGAATGAAATCAAGAAACCTTCCAAGTAGGACACAAACTGACCGCGAGGTGGATCATGGTGGATGTGCCAAGAGTGACCATCGCAGGAGGTGCAGGCGAAACAAAGGTTGCGCCAAGAGCGCTCATGGTTAAGCACTTTTATTTGGAGGAGAATTTTTATATGTGGAGATGATTGGCATTCAGAGTAATATGCCAAGACCTTATGTTGGAGGATGTAACTAAGCCGCATTGTTGAGGCGGTTTGGAGGTTCGAGTGTTTGAAGAAATTGCCACCTGTGACTATGATCAGTGTTCAAGGTATCTGAGTAGTTCAGGCCTGAATAGACTCAGATTAACTCGCATTGTGTTATGAATCTTAAACAACCTTATTCCGTATTCAAGCAGGATCTTTATCTGCGTTGTGAATCATTGGATAAACAACCAACGATACGCCAAGTTTATCTTAAGAGCTTAAAGTCGTTAGTGGTGGTCCTTGCTTCTTGGCGTTGCCGGGTCCTCTCCAACCCGGTTCCTTCGATAGAGCACATGGCAATGACATAGTTCGACGATAAAAAGAGCTATTCTTGGTATTTTTGAGACGCGCAAGTGCTCAGACAGTCGTAGAAGTGTTTTGCCTTTATTTATCGCAGTACTTTTCTAGCTTGAAACCATTTTTAGATCAGATTCTGAGAGAAACAGAGGTATCAGAAAAGCGGGTCTCTTCATCGGGGAGTCGGTCTTCAACTCCTACGTTCAAGGGTCTAAATGATCCCCAGATTCCCGTCTCCGCGATATGTGAGATAAGATTCGGCAATTACGTAGTAGTCTTGGACATTTATAACCAGGATTCAAATGTGCTTAGTATTCGTATATGATCACACTTACGTAGGAGAAGAGAAAATAGATGCTGGCTTCTTATTCGTCAGTCCTATTCATTGGTGGCAGGAAATACAGTTCCTACCGATGGTACCCTACCTGCTAGGCTGTCCGTTCACTGTCGGCTCTTGCCCGCAACCGATAAAGCCAAGATGGCGGCCTTATAGCCTCAGCCTTCTGATACCAAACATCAACTTTGCACATTTGCCAAGCTCCGCCAAGACAATAAACATCTCGTCATCTGCTCTAAAGCTGAATCATTGTCACGGGCTCGAAATACTCATCAATCAATGGCCAGAACTGCCATGCCGTTGCGATATTCCGACCCGGCACCAAACAATCGTTCTGATGTTCTAGAACCGGTCTTGGGCTTGTAGCCACCACTGCAAGCGCGTTAATCACTCTCGATTGCTATAATTCATGTCACATGCCGCGACCACTATCAGGCAATTCTCGCGCTTGCAGTTTGACTACTGAACCCTCACAAAACACCACATTTTCGTTCCTATCGCTGAAATGGAGCCAGTTGGGATCATTCTGCTCGTGCTTTTTCTCGTCATCATCATCATGGGTCCTCTGTACGTCTTGCGCTGTAATTGACCGCTGCTGACTGACCACCGCTAACTGGAAAAGAGCATGTTTTAGGATGAGCGTGCGGAGAGCGTCGGAGAAGGTCTTCAGTCCCCAACCTAATCAACTGGACAATGCGCGTCGGAAACTCAGCACCGTTACAACCTCAACGGTCATTCCACAAGCGAATCCCGATCCCACCGCCGACATTGAAGCTCAGACTCCACTCTCCGGGTTCGGTGAATGGTGAGTGCATCCACTTCCGGAGAAGTCATCGGAAGCTCTGTCTCCGCTTTTGCTTCTCGGTCGGAGCTTGTACGGGCCGCTCCAGGATCTTGCTGACAGCCTCAGTCCGATCTGCATAGGTCCTCTTGTCCCAGAACCAGTGCATACCGTCAACGCCGATCCACGTCCGATTCTCGAAAAAGTTTCAACGGTGACGTCTCACGAGAGTCAAGCCAGGCCCGGTCCAAGTGTACAAACAACTGATAAATCAGGCCCAAGTGTGCAAACGACCGATAAATCAGGCCCAAGTGTACAGACAACCGATGAAGCGGAAGACGACATCATGACGATAAATACGTGCGGCCATTCATTTCACTCAAAATGCCTTTCCTCCTGGTTCTTGATCGAACGATATGATTGTCCTGTATGCAGGGTGCCGTATTACAAAGGGTTACCACGTCGCGAAACAGCTCTGAGCGTGACACCGTTTTGGTGATCACCGCCATCTTAATTGATCACTAATCTCCAGTTAAATGACTTGATGCCAATGGACGCGATGCCAGCCATGTCTCATAACTGTCAAGGCAGTTTGATGATGCTTACAAGCAGCCTGCCGCAAGGTTCGGTTCCTGATTAGTCCAGCTTCAGCCACAACAATTGCTCTCACCATCTCGATGCCGTATCTGAATGTTTCAGTTGTTTGTGGATTTTTGCGGCCCCCTCCGAATAAATTCATTGGCTGTGCTCGTTTCTTCCGGAGTATCTTCTGCGGTTTGATGCAGTCTTCCGTTGTTGGGTGGTTTGAGCGTCACAGCGGAGCAAAAGTTGGTGACAAAATACGCACCGCCACCATGACGGATCGGCGATCCTCCCGCCCACCCAAGTCTAGATGACTTCATCGCCATCAACAAGGCCTGGATCGAGAATTTTGGTCATGGATCGTTTAGAGACATGACAGCTCACCAGCCAGCATTTCAAAAGGTGATGCAGGGGGCTTTGTGCCCATCGTGTTACCAGCGACAGTTTGCTCCGGAAATAATGACCTAGCCCTACCGGAGGCAACATCGCTCCCAGACCATGCATGACGCGCCCTGCGTCATTGGCTCTTCGGGCGACTTCCTCCGACTACCATTACTTTAAATGTTGGAGAATGTTCGTTGCCGAATTTATCAGGTACTTGGCTGTGATTATATCTGCCTTTGCCTCATGACCTCCAATTCTCCCTTGTTTACATCAGACATATGTCACCTTGTTTCTTGACATCTGCTGGAAGACTTTCCCTGCGACTTTCCCTGCGACTTTCAGTTCTTAGAGCATACAGCACGTCTACAACCATGACTTCGAAACGGAAGAGAACTGGGGCTCATCCGCCGCCTCCGGTACCTGAGATGCCTGATGCCCCCAGGAGAAGCAGTCGAAGAATAAAGGATGCTGCTGATCGGCCAAAGTCAGACACAGATCCCGTGAAAGCTGCGAGCCCAAAGAAAACAATGGCTGTCTGGGATACAGGCGAAGGTGTCGAAGAAGCCATGCGCGAGCTGAGCGAGATGGAACAAAAGTTGCAGACTGCTGTCAGAAAACAGCGTCTGGCAGTTGAGTCCTCAGATCTTCACATTAAGAAGGAAACCGAGGACGAACCTGATATCCGACCGAAACCGTATTCGCCGAACAAGGATACTGTTGTCGCCCGAGGAAACTTGGAAGGAAAGTTAAAAGTTGTCAACTCTGTACCACTGGATGAGTACGACGCCGAACTCGCTGCTGGCGATGTCGTTGATGCCGAAGGTGAAGACGATGGCATGGATCGAGGTGCCAACAGGCCTCCCCCTGTCAACAGTGAAACTCTTCCTCTGCCATGGAAAGGAAGGTTAGGATATGTGAGTTTGGCATTGTGACTTGCAGACTTTACTGACCTTCCAGGCTTGCCTAAATACATACCTGCGCAATGCGACTCCTGCTGTCTTTTCCTCGAGAACCTGTCGCATGGCCTCTATTATTGAGCACCGACACCCTTTAGCAAACCCTGATGAACCAGAACACCTTACCAAGAACCGACCGGATAGGAATAAACCAGCAGACTACGAACGAGGACTCAAATATGTGCAAGATTTGGGCTTGGCGAATGCACGAGATATTGTCAAAATGATTCGATGGAATGTCAAGTATGGCATCAAATTCATGAGACTGAGTAGCGAGATGTTTCCATTTGCAAGTCATCCAGAACATGGTTACAAGCTAGCGCCCTTTGCGTCAGACGTGCTAGCGGAAGCTGGCAAAGTAGCTGGAGAGCTGAATCATCGTGTAACAACACATCCTGGACAATTCACACAGATTGGGTCTCCGCGCAAAGAAGTTGTCGCCGCTGCCATTCGCGATCTGGACTATCATGATGAGATGCTTACTCTACTCAAACTTCCCGAACAGCTTGACCGCGATGCTGTCATGATCCTTCACATGGGTGGCGTTTATGGCGACAAGCAAGCAACGGTTGACCGATTCAAAGAGAACTACGCCAAACTTTCAGACAGTGTCAAGCGGCGATTGGTTTTGGAGAATGACGATGTCGCATGGAGTGTTCACGATCTGTTGCCCGTCTGCGAAGAACTCAGCATTCCTCTCGTGCTCGACTACCACCATCACAACATCATCTTTGACCCATCGATAAGAGAGGGTTCTCAAGACATTATAGGTCTTTACGATCGCATCAAAGCTACCTGGACCAAGAAGGGAATCACCCAGAAAATGCACTACAGCGAGCAGACATCCGGTGCAGTCACACCAAGAGACCGCCGCAAGCATTCCGCCAGAGTCAAGACTCTCCCACCATGTGCCCCCGACATGGATCTAATGATAGAAGCCAAGGATAAAGAGCAAGCTGTTTTTGAACTGATGCGAACTTTTAAACTGCCAGGTTGGGATACCTTTAACAACATTGTACCATATGAACGACCAGATGAATCACGAAAAGCCGTCAAAAAGAAGGCAAAGAAGGGTAAAAAAGCAAATGGCGTCAAGGGAGAAGCGGAGGATGACATTGAAGTACCTGAAAAGATTGTTAGCGCTGAAGATTTTGGCATGGGAGGTCCTCAAGCAAGAGTGTACTGGCCCGAGGGTATGGAAGAATGGTTGCGACCAAAGAAGCGAGAGATTAAGAAGGCAAAGGACGGAAAGGACGGAACACCTGTGATGAAGCAGGATGGAGATGAAGAATGATTATGTCTAATGGCAATTAAATAGTGTAAACTAATAAGACTGCTTGAATGTTAATTGTGGTGTTGAATCGAAGTGCCCAATATACAGGGTAGGAGCTCTGAAAAGTTTTCATCAAGACCTTCCCAAATAACTTGGAAGCCTCAACTTTTCTCTTCAACAACAAACATGGCTTCTACGAATTTTGACGGTACAAGCGAAAGCTTTTTGCAATGGTTCAAGTCTTTGCCTGGTGCTACATTCTCCGACGCCATTAAAATTGTTGATCTTCGTGATCGCAATGCTGGTCGTGGTATAAGTAGGTCTCATGCATGCCTTCAAAGTCAAGCTAACAACACAGTCGCTCTCGAGGATATCCCTGCGGAAACAACTCTTTTTACCATTCCGAGAAGAGGAATCATCAATGTTGAGACCTCGGAGCTACCGAAAAAGATTCCGGGTGCTTTTGACCTCGACAAACCTGATGATGACGACGCACCGGGGTTGGATTCATGGAGTTCGCTTATCCTCATCATGATTTACGAGTATCTTCAAGGTGAAAACTCCAAGTGGAAGCCCTATTTCGATGTTCTTCCAACGTCATTTGATACGCCCATGTTTTGGTCCGACAATGAGCTTGACCAGCTTCAGGCCAGTCATATGCGACACAAGATCGGCAAGGCGGATGCTGAGAATATGTTCCAAAAGACGCTGCTCCCCATTATTCGAGGCAACTCTGAGATATTCAACGCCGGGAACAAGACTGATGCGGAGCTTATCGAGATTGCCCATCGAATGGGCAGCACCATCATGGCGTATGCTTTCGAACTTGAGAATGACGAGGAGGAAGAGGAGGAGGCTGATGGTTGGGTTGAGGATCGAGATGGAAAGTCGATGATGGGAATGGTACCGATGGCGGATATTCTGAATGCCGATGCCGAGTTCAACGTAGGTCACTTCCATGAATGACTGGCAAAGCTAACAGAATAGGCTCACGTCAACCACGAAGAGGAGAGTCTCACCGTGACCAGCTTGAGGCCCATCAAGGCGGGCGAAGAGGTTCTCAACTACTATGGCCCTCACCCGAACTCGGAGCTCCTAAGAAGATACGGATACGTTACCGAGAAGCACTCCCGTTATGATGTTGTCGAGATTCCTTGGGACATTGTTGAATCAGCCCTGAGCTCCAACTTTGGCATTCCTAGTCAAGTCTTGGAGCAGATTGTAGGTCAATTGCAGTTGAAATGACCCAGCTAACCTCAATAGCGCGGCGCTCTTGAAGAGGACGAAGAATTTGAAGACACCTTCGTTTTGGAGCGAGAAACAGGCGAGGTCAACTCGGACGGCACCTTTGCTGAGTCCGCCCGATTCGAAAGCATGCCCGAAGACCTCCAAGAACAGCTCAAGACATTCCTCAAAGGCATCAAGAAAGCACAGCCCGATGCTATCCCCGACAAGCGAAAGAGAGACGAGATCCACCAAGCTGTACTGGCCAAGACATTGGAAGCTCTTGTAGCACGATACCCGACAAGCATTTCCGAAGACGAAGCTCTACTCAAACAAGACCTCGACCAACGAACTCGCATGGCAATTGCCGTTAGACTTGGAGAGAAGAAGCTACTTCAAGAAGCTATTACTGCATCTTCTGGAGACGTTGAGATGACAATGGACGACGAATCTGGACCAGCCAAGCGTACAAAGCGTTGATCCAGCGGGGCTATGTGATAGATATTGTTTCCTCTCGTCTCATGCAAGAGGTGCAGAAGGCGATTGCGAACCGTCCACAAGGCAACAATTACAATCAAAATCACAATTGTCTACTATTTAAATGATCCATATCTTGCACATATTGTTTTCAACTCTTTCTTCTGATCAGAACCTTTGATGAAGCTCAAGCTCAAACACCAGCGGATACTGAGAAATGAAGGATCTGAACCTTTAATTATTGTACTGACAAACAATGGGTCTAGATCGATACATCACACCAAGTTGAGCTCACAGTCCGCTGAGACGAGCAAAAGTCTGCAGCTCTCATACAAAAAATACCTCGTATACGCGGTTCCGCTCGCGTCACACAAACATCACCGGAGATATATGATAATGTTGAAACACGAGTCCACCAACTTGATGGCCTCTCTATGGTTATTCGATCGCGATTTGTCTCGGTTACATTCTCCATCTTACGGGGTACGCCACCCCCAAAGACTTGCAAGCGAGCAGTTACTCGGACATGAATGAGCCCGAACTCAACACCATCAGAGAGGAGGCTTGAGTGGTTGCTTCGAGTCACCTGTCAAGGTTCCCACACGACCAAGACACACATGTCTGCGGAGACACCGATGTCCTCTGGCCTCAGATGCAGTTCAGCACTATCATCGCATAAGTCCAAAGTTGCCAAGTCGCAAGTCACCAGATAATCAAGGGTTAGCGCCAACAACTGATCGACATCAAGATCTTATCTCACTCATTGGCCCGCTTTCTTGACAAATCAATCAGACAACTTACCCGGTGGGAGGCGGTTGAAGTCCTCCATCTATCCGTGGAGTATGGGTCAACCGGTGTCGAGCAGAACAAGCGTAAGAGGGGCGGCCCGCGTTGATGTTGCATGAACTAGGGTGTCCTCACATTCCCTGCACAGCATTCAGAAGTACCATGAAGCGTGGCACCAATCCTTGATTCCAGAAGTCTTGAATAGGCTTTACGGATATGTCAAGATGTCTGGCAGACTGCTGAAGCTGACATGTGTGGTGTCGTCATCCTCACACTTTATTGCTTCAAGTCACGGAAGTCGGTTTCCTCAACGGTTTAGTGACCGAGAACCAAATGGTAAATCCGAGATGAGGCTCTGCAGATGAGTGAGTTATAAAATGGCAATTGCTCAAGTGAGATGATAGGTGATCAAGTCAACTAGTGATCATGTTGAAACAGGTACGCTTAAAGCTCCGCTTCAGCAGCTTCAAGCTTAACTAACACTGTCAGAAAACATCAAGGCACAGCTCAAGCCGAAAAGGGAGCTCTTCAAGCCAGCCCACCCCAGGCTTCCTGTTTATCGCCAACAAACTCATCATCCGAGAACCAGGACGTGACGATTATCATCACCTTATTCCGCCCAGCTCGCCAAACTACTACCGCGGCGAGGTCCCAAGCAAAGTCATGCGCTTCAGGAACGGCGAAGTGTCTGAAGCAGCAGACTGGCGATGGTATAGAGACGCTTCCACGCTCCCGGCATCCGACGGACAATTACTACAAGTGGACGCCCGTGGAAACTGCATCACGGATCAGTATGGACAAGTGTACCCGGCTGAAGAGTATAAAACGTTTGGGGTTGCTGCTTGCAATCCACTGCTCCCAATTATGGTCACTGAACATGATCCTCTGGTCACCATATCGAACTGGGAACTCCTACGTGTATTTCATCCACCATTGATTCCCGGGCTCTCTCAAGTGACCACCATCACCAGCACCATGGCTCCCGGGCCTGGTCCTTTGCTACACGTTGCTGGAAGAAACCCTGCGTGGATTCCCGGTCTACTTCCTCTGACCTACAAAGCACCCCGAAGTAATGCACCTCACTCAACAGGTCTTGGAGGAGAGCTGCCTATTGTCCTGGGGCTCATGGCATTGCATGCACCTCCAGGCGGCGAGATGAGCAACCATTCGATAGACAGTGTATTTCTTGGGCACAATCGATTATGGAGACATGGAGCTTGGACGAGTGCTGATGCCCCTAGAGGACGTATGTTGTTCATTCGATTGCTGATATAGCTAACAACCACAGATCCCCCGACAGCTTCTGAAGATCCAAAAGGGTTTATTGTCAAGGTGTTTCTCGACCCAGACAACCAATACTCAACTCGAGAAGATCTCCACAGTTTTGAATGGGAGAGGGCTATTGTTCGAGATTGACCGATTGACAGCTTAAGCTTGAATTGATTTAGTCTATTATTCATTCCTGTATGAAGCCTGCTCTGCAGTCTGCCCCATGTTCGTTATCCATCCATGAGCTAGTTGGTCTGATTTGTAGGACTCAGACTGCGTCGGGAAGTCGTACAGCGATATCGCCAGATTGGGTAATGTATCGAACCCAAGGAAGCGAAGGATATTGCAACTACAATTGTTAGCCTTGATTCAATGTCTGACGGAGTTCGTACCTTTGGCTCGGTAATCTTTAGATACCGAACCTGAATACCACTTGTGGTAAAGTAGGGAATCTCAAACTTGACCTGGATAGGTCGCTTGGCACCCTTACCCACTCCTCCGACTCCTCCCATGCTACCACCAAAACCACCCATCATACCACCACCCTGCTCATCATCTCCTCTCACGCTTGGCAGGCCCAGCTCAGCACGCATGAGGAATTCCTTGCCTCCACCAAATTGTTTGATCTTCCAGACAATAGCACTTTGCTCGGGGGCGTAATGGACAGATCCGATGTTTGTTCGGAAACGAGGACTATCGGCGTCATCTGGAACGGGAACCACGATTTCGACATTGTTGGCGGTACTGCGGCGCTTGAACTGTGCTCGAGCCTTGAGCATGTATTCGATTCGGGAGCCTGAATGGGATTCGACTACACATTCAACCCAGATCAGGGGCTTGACTTGGGTGTTGAGACGGTAGGACATGAGCTCGAATTCGCCGTCAGGGGGGATAAAGGAGATGGTTCGGTCGTTTTCGAATCGTGATAGTCGTACACATTGGTGAAACTTGACGTCCTCCATTTCGATAGCTTTACCGCGGGTGGCTCGACCGGTTGTCTCAAACATGACCTTGTCATTCAATCCTAGACGCAACTCGGGCATACCACTGAGATAACACTTCATCTTGATGGCGCCAAGAATTTCTGATCGAAGGACATTGCCGTTTGCAGACACCAAAAGGTTGAGAGACTCGACAACATCGAGGAACACTTCGTTCTTGCGGTAGCGGATACCCTCTGATCGCCACGACACGGCGTTTGTGACGGCGATTGGTGGCCGTGCTTGGATCTCGAGCTTGTGAGATTCCTGGGTGATGTACTCCTGAAGGATCTTGGACTCTGTTGTTTGAGGATAACCAAAGTCCATCATTTCGTCGAGAAGTTCGTAGATGATGACAAAGTTGTCTCGGATGGATTCTTCTTCTAAAGCTTTAAAGTACTCGGTAAAGACCTCGACGATCTTGTGAAGGAATAGGAGGATTTCGGCGGCATTCGTGTTTCGTTTCGTAAGGGCGAGGAGATAGAGGTTGTTGTGGCGGATGTAGAGATACTATTCAATTAGCAGGGCCAACAAGCATAGAGACTACCTACGTTGATGCCTTCGTGGGAGAAGCATGGTGGAACAGCAGAGGAGTCTTCCTCAGCTTCTGAAAGGAGTACGGGGAACTTTTCGACTGCTGACATGGGAATGTCACCGCGATAGTTACGGGCAAGAAGGGTCTACACTGTCAGCGACGTCAAACCCAGTGACATTCAACACACCTTGCCCTTGAGATCTAGGAAGAAGAGTGCGGATGCCATGTTGGATGTCTTGGCGGAGCGGAAAGGAGGTCGCGATAGATGCGACGGTCAAGGTCAAGACGAAGAGGTCATGCGCAGTAACAAAGACAACAATCAATAAGGAGAGGCTGAATAGGAATTAAGGACTATAGAGAAGCGCAGGCAATCATCATGGTCCGAGGCGCAATGGTTTCGTGGTCAAGCTGTCTGTTTCGCTGGCATCTTTTGGATGCCTGGTCATTCCAGCTGTGACGACACGGTAGAATGTCGGATATGGTGGGGTAGCTTGAGCTTGTAGTCACGTGAGAATGGATCAGAAATTTTATTAAAAGCTTTTCGTTTTTTTTTTTTCGTTTCTGCTTGTTTTCTCTTCTCCTCAACGCACCCTCTAGACAGTGCAGACCATTACCTAGCCTGCAACCGAATGGCATTCTGTCATTTCAGCCGTGGAGCCGTTGATGTGAGCTGCGATTTCGTGGTGCGGAGAGGGAGAACCTGGCTCCATTAAGAACTGCCCGAGTATTATTAGTTGCTTTGGCGGTGTCAGAGGAGCCGGACATGCAAATTCGTGACTGGACCGATTTGTGACTGAGACATGGAATTCGATCTGGGGTAAAATGTGGCAGGTGACCGCAGCCTCGACTTTTGTTGGGGGGCCTTGAGTCCAGGGTCTCTGCTTTGACGAGATCTGCAATCAGGGATCTTGGGGTTGTCACAATTGGACTCGTAAAGATCGTGGCAAAGTTAAATTTGCAAATGCATGTCCAATGAGCTTGTGACCGGTGCATCCATCTCGCGTTTTTCACAAAGATGAACGCGAGGCTGTCCTGTCTGGGGAGACTGGTTTCCTGGCCTTTAGGAGCAAGAAAACATGAGGCCTAAGTTTAGGGTGACAAAATAAACTCTACAAAGGTATCCTAAACTCCTCCTAAATTTATACTAAGTTACCTAAATCTTTTTATCAGTTATACTTCAGGTCCCGAGTTTTATTTCCTCCCCTAGGCTGGCCTGTCAGTGTCTCTTGGTCTGCGGAGTAGTATCTCCAGCTCAGAATTTACACAAAACGACACAACGGAGTAATTTGAGCGTTTGAGATTCATTAACTCTGTCCGTGCAGAACCTCCGTTCAACCGATTCAGGGTCCAAATAGTCAATCTCAAGACTATCGCAACTATCGCTGGCAATGATACCGTATCGTTGCGCTATTGCTATCTGCAAGCATGCTACCATCGCATATGCAAATTCACATGTTGGTCAGTTATCGGGGACCAGATACAGGTCCGATAAAGTAACCGAATGCCGACTGGTTTGGATAAAGAGTGTGTATGCAACCTTACTTGAAAAGGAACATATTAGCATAGCTCAAGATGAGCAATCAATGAGCAATCGCATCTGACGTTATCAGACAATTCCATTGGATGGAAAAATAACATTCAAACGCATCAGGAAAAGGATGTAATCCTTCCTCTGTGGCATGTGCTTGAGTTGACCTTGTTAGTGGATTCCCCATGACTCGGGCGACCCGCTTAACAATTGTGACGATGAGTATCCTTCTTTGCATGTGATGTCGGTGCATCATCATCCCCAGTTTTGACACGTGCTAGAGGCCCAGAGGCTTCAGGTACACTTCTTAGCGACTCTAGTCGACGTTGGACGTTGAGTCGAATTGATCTTGTGATGCTGCGAACAAAACCGGCCCAACAAATTTATCGCATCATTAATCAAGCCAAACGCCCCAAGTTCGGCCGTATATCTTGTGATGATGCTCTGATATTGGGTGCAGCTCCTTTAGCGATCTTCCCCACTACGCCTCTAAAACAAGTCACCTGAAGCCACTGTAGCCGGCCCGGTTTTTAGTGGGCTATCGTCTTGCGCTGGGCTTGTTTGTTCAGCCGGTCCCTGCAGCAGGAAAGAAGGTCCCGCGAGCGCCTGACGTTAACAGGTTTCTCTTGTCCCCCCACGATCGCTCTCATTCCCAATCTCTCTCCAACATCACATCTCCGCTTCCATCATCATCATTATTGATTTGCCGTTTCTTTTGTCTCGCTGCGATATTCTTTGCGGCCACTGGCCGACTTCACTCGATGCTCAGTTGACATATCCGTGCTATCGCCGACCATGGAGCGCAATCACATGCTTCCTGATCGGGAGTCCGAGTCTCGTCATGTCCTCGGACCACCACCTGCTCGACCTCAATCATTGATGGCGTTTTCTCCTCCAGCTTATTCCAATGTCGCTTCACCGAATGCGATAAAGTTCCCTGATGTTCCTACCGATTTACCGGCCTCTTTGCCTCCTTTGGCTAGATTCGATGCCGACAACGATACCAAGTTACCCCCTCTGAGTTCACTTACGAGCGAAATGGCCATGGAACCGACCAAGACTTGGCTTCCTTTCCATCCTGTGCCTTATCAACCAGTTCATGCGCATAGTATTGATAGTCCGACACGAATGGATCTTGATGGAAGTAGCAACAGCGCCGTCAGCGCTGCTTCTCCTGATGCTCTTCTTGATGCGAGGGCTAGTAGCGTCAGCCTTGATGATCCAGATGTGCGACTGGCGGCTGAGGCGCTTGGAGATTTGAGAGCAGGTATGTTGCCAATTGTAAGGGTGATCATATCTAACGTTGCAGACTTTATATCTTCACCACCGCATAGAAATTCCTCTCTTCCAGTCAGTCCACCGACTTCTGGACTTCAATCGAATCAACCACAATCGCCGCAGCCTGAACCGCTTCTGTCTCTACTTACTACGACTCATCCATTGTTGGCGAGTACAATTGAAGGCGCTACTTCGGCGTATGGTGGCGCCAAGAACTTTTCACCGCGTTTTCGATCTGGCGCCGAATATGTTGAGGGATACCTGACACCTATTGCGAACACTGTTGGTTCCGTTGGTCGAGTAACTGGTGTTGAAGGAGGTGTTAGATGGTTTTTGGGCGCTGGAAGACGGCAAAACAGTTCAACGTCGGATTTGGAAACTGGTAACAGCAAGAAGCGCCGCAAAACGGATGAGGATGAGGCAGTCAGCAACAAGCGATTTGAGTCTGAAGGGATGCAACAAATGAGCGATGAACAGATGGATACAGCGCCTTCGCCATCTTCAAAGACCATGTCTCGTCGCATGTCAACTACTAGCACGATTGACACGCTTCCTGCTTATGATGAGTTGAGGTCACCCGCATATACCGAGACTGATTCCAATTCACCGCGACCATCACGACCAAACAGCGCCTGGCAGTCACGCCTGATTACATCTACTTCTGGTCTCAGTGTCGCCATGAGCCAGGAGAGCCTGCGCAGTCTCAAATACTGTCTACAGTGGCTTCGCTGGGCCAATGATCACATTGCTCGTGTGATTTCAGCCTTGAAAACTACTCTTGACGAGTACGAAAAGGTACCTGACGGACAAGCTGGCGGACAGGCTGATCCTGAATCTCGCTCTCAACTTGCTGCTCGCATCTCAAACCTCAAGGGCGATGTCCTCAGAACCCTGCGAGAAGCCATCAACACTGTGTCGAAATACGCAGGGGGCGCATTGCCCGAAAACGCACGAATCCTTGTGCGACGTCATCTCACTAGTCTACCCCAACGATTCCGTGTCGCCACCATGACCGACAGGAATGCCGGGCAACAAGACAACGAGACTGTTCTCACTGAAGGTGCACACAAAGTTTTGGTCTTGGCCAAAGAAGGTCTGGACATGGTTGTCCAAGTAAGTGGTGTCGTAGATGGAACAATTGTCAGCGCTGAGCAATGGCTCGACCGTATGGGCAAGCGAAGAGCCCAAGAAGATGAGAAGCCAATGCTTCCTCAAACCGAGGTTAATGGGGATGTGAAAATGGGTTAATTGGAAACGAAAACGAGTGATACCTGCGAGTTCCAATATCACGAGGAGCTCATTTATTTCCTTGAATGACACGACCAGTAGGTGAGCGAGTTGGATTTCTGGCGTTTGGTGGGCTTTGTAGCAACGAATATGAGCTGCTTTCGCATGTCAATTTGGCGTCTGAACTCGTCAGATGATATCAATGTGATGTACGGGTCGGAACAACGCAATACCGACTATTTAAGACTCTTTGGGTCAATTCAATCACTCAATTATGGCACCTTCAAGATCAAGATATTCCACCCCTCGAGCCAAAGCGTGTCAACATTGTATAACCGCCAAAGCAAAATGTGATCGCAAAGAAACCTGCGGACGATGTGCTTTGCGAAGTCTAACATGTAGCTATCCTGGGAGGTCTCGAGAGCCGACCGTAGACTCGCAGCCGGACGCGGAGAACGGGGGAAACTCAACGTCAGACACTCTTGACTTTGAACAGAGCTTACTCCAAGACCCCGACATTCAGTTTGATACACTGGATCTCGTGTGTCCGATCAACAGCGACGATATCAAGAACCGATGGCTCAACTCGTACGTTCCTCTGCCTGGACAATCGCCCAAGAACTACAGTCAAAGTGTCATAAACTTTGTCTATCGAATGCTCAAATCGTATGCCTCGACAGTAATTCGGGGTCGTCTGCCACCATTCATCCATCCTATGCAGCAGTCACTGGTGCCACTCTCGACCTGCTTTACTCTGGTCCGAATATGCGATCCTCTGCCTAGCAACGTGAGTATCGCCGCAGATATCCTCCAGCGAGAAATGACTAGACTTTATGAAGAGCGAGGAACGTATGAAGGCATCAATCTTCTTGGACTGTTTCAAGCGTACCTCATCTATTCCATGGTTCTGTTCTTTCACTTGGGCCCTTCGATGCCGTTTCTTCGTCAGGCAATGATCAATCTACAGGAAATCGCTTGCACAACCTCTCGTGAAGGGCTTGTATGTACGGCAGAACAACGAGGCGCAGTCCCAAAATGGGAATCATGGATCATGGCAGAGGCAAAGAGAAGAACACTATACACCATGTACTTTCTGGACAATGTGTTGTCAGCTCATGATGGTATCACCACATATCTGGGGACTGAGTTGAGGGGACTCTATTCGCCAGCCAGTAAATATATGTGGCAGGCTGATCGGAATGGATGGGAACAGAGCTGCAACTCTCATCTGGCTGAATGGGGAAGTGAGCCCTTTCGACTGGATGAATTGTGGCCGTTTCCAGATGGAATGAGTGAGGAAGACATAAAACGCCAACGACGGAGGGTAGATCGATGGTTGGAGGATGTTGATGAGTTTGGGACAATGTTGTATGCAGCATCGAGCTGTACTCATGGAGGGTAGCGCTTTGACTTGATGCGAACTCGGTCGTCAGATCGCACAGCCTTGCCAAGATCAATACTCGTCCAGATCGGCTACTCTACGGTGTCTATTGCCGCTCGAATATCTTTCAAGAACATGTTTTGTCCAATTACACCACTGGATCACCGTCCCTAACCCTCGCCTTGAGTCATTGCAGTGGCCTCAACCAAAGGAAGCCCTGTAACAGAAACAGAGTTCAGCACCAACCGTTAGTGGCGTTGATCGTCGACGGTTGGCTCCCCGAAGATCCACTAGTTAAAGCTTGACTCTCAGATATCAAGGATTCATCGCCTCCCGTCATTCTGCATCTCCATTTACAATGAATTCGACCTTTCCACGATATGTGGAATGCAACAGGTCCCGATTCGAATCGAAATGCCCCTCCTGGGGTTGTTCCCGATTATAACAATCCTGAAGACGTTTACTGGACGTTGAATATTGTCTTGACGACGATATGTGTATTCTTTATTACACTCTTTTTTATAGTACGAATCTATGTCAAGGGAACGATTAGCCGGAACTTTGGGTTGGAAGATTGTATGTCTACGTCTCATGTTGGACGAAGCTGACAGTTTAGGGACGTGTGTAGCAGCATTTGTATGCCCGACTCTCGATGCTCAATGTTGGCATGCTAACCTTTAGATCACCGCCGTCATGTACTGCGTCACTTGCTTCATGAGTATGTCTATCTTATTTTCGTTGCGTCACTAACAAAGTAGTGGCCCGGTATGGAGCAGGTTATCATGCCTGGGAGATTCGTAAACCAGAATACTACAATTGGCTCAAGGTGAGTATTCCAAGTGTGACCGACCGATCTAACAAGTCAGTGGTTTTATGCCAGCACGGTTGTCTATATCCCGACTGCCTTTTTCACCAAAGCGACCATTTTGCTACTGATGGCACGAGTTTTTGCTGTTGAACCACGAGTTGCAAAAGGAATCAAGATCTTGATATGGGCTTTACTGGTGGCATACATTCCGATTCAAATACTCCGAATTGTCAACTGTTATCCCATTCGGACATATTGGGACCCAGATGTCAGAAACGCACGATGTCTCAACCAACGAAAGATCTTCTTTTCAGATCTATCGCTATCTATTGTCACAGATTTGGTCATTCTGTTGATCCCGATACCGTTGACTTGGAAACTCCGAATGTCGATAGGGAAAAGGATCAAGATTGTGTTGCTTTTGGGAGCGGGTGGAATCGCTACAGCCTTGACACTCTTCCGTGTTGCCAAAGCGGTGGACTTTTTGAACTCGGATGATATTACTGTTGATTATACGCCAATTGGCATTCTAACGTATGTTGTTCAGCCTGGTAATGCTTGTCTAACGATTGCAGGGCTCTCGAGATTACTATCGGTTTTGTCTGCGCCTGTCTTCCATCGCTGAACCTCCTGATCGAGCATCATGTTCGTAAACGTAGACGAGCACGAAACCCGAATTGGCCGCGCGATCGAACACGGACATCCCTGTTCAAGAAGCGCTTCCGATGGATTAGCTCGTCTACAGAACACATGCCCTCTCGACCGAATCGGCCTTCAGATGGAATGATTGACCTGGACGTGGAAATGGCCATGTTGACAGGGCAGCCTGTACGATTACGAACGGGACGAACAGCCAGTGCAGGATCTCATGATATCCGACCACTCGACCATCGACTTAATTCTGGCGACGGACGAAGAGAGGGATGGCTATCTCAAGATCGGGATGAACAAGACGAGGTACAGGACAGCAAATTCATCATGCGAATGGTGGAGGAATCAAGAGCACGAGCAGACGAAGGGGCCAAAGAATCATGGTGTCCAGTCTGGGATGGACCGAGGGATCCCATGGCAAGTCAAGGGAGTTGGAAGTTTAGCGTGCGGTCGCATTAGAGCATAGAGTATACCCAGGTATTAGAATTGATCATGATAACGAGAGCTTCCATCCAAATTTGTGGATGATTTCCCTCCAGTCTTGGTTTGTACTCGATACTTGAAGATCTCTTGTATGCCAGATCAGCTTGAGTGCGTTCCAAACAGCGGAGATGTTGCTAATTGGCCATTTACTATCCATCAACATGAAGTGATCCAACACAACCTTTCGTTGTTCATCTGATGAGCATGCACAGCCTGCTAGGAACAGTGGCCACATTGGGAATGATCTTCGAGTCTGTCCCTCAACGATGATATCGGAAAGACATGAAAGAAGAGATTCGTGGAGGGCTAGGATGGATGGGTGGGTGATGGCTGTGTTGTAGCACACGAGGCGGAGGTAGATTTGCGCTGCAATTCTAAAAGACTCGGCGCTTCGCAAGAGGTAGTCGTCAGTGCCCTGAAAACAAAGGTCTTCGAGTCGTTGTTCAATTTCTTGGCCTGTTGTATATAGTTGATCCTTGGAAATGCCGTGGGTAGACAGTGACGATATTTCGTTAATAATGTCGACGAGATCCATTGAGCAACCAATCTGTTCATCAACCAAATTCCGAGAATGCGGGAGTGTAGCCTCGGCTTTGGCCAAACCAGCCATTGCTTGGTGTAACGAGTCCTGGTGGGTAGGTTGCGTAGTCTCCATAAGAATATATCGAAACCGGAAATACTGGAGTACAAATTCGGCTACATTGGGGTCGATGTTGTTTCCGAAACTCTCAAGTAGAGCGAGTGCGCCTTGAAGATGACGCAGCCATGTCGGACACGATCCATGTGCGATTTCGAGAGATGCCAACAGAACGCAGGTTAAAAGATTACCCTCACTTCCTTGAGAATCTGGAAGAGCGTGTTGTAGTTCATGGAGAGCTCGGACTTTGTACTGCATTGATAAAGCGCGGTAGTCTCTTCCGTCTGGGACAATGTTTTGCGCCCATTCTGCTGCGCTCATGGCTAGGACTGCGGAGAACAAAGGGCCTTGAAACATTCGGGGAATGACTGATGTACGGAAGCCATTCCGACTTGTATCCACGTAGACTCTGCTCCTAGAAATGATCTCGACATCTAATCTGTTAGCGGGGATAAATGGTGGTGAGAATACATACAGTACTGCACGAGAGCTTTCTCAACTGAGCGTCCCGACTCAAAAGCAAACGGTGATAAACTGCGGGGAACGGATTCCTTTGCCCAAACAATCCTTCCTTCACTAGAATTACAAACAGCAAAGAGTTCTTGAGGTGAGAGATTAAGAAAGCTATGGCTCTGGTTATCACTCGGCACCAGATAATGGTCAGAAGCCGCCACGATAAACTTGTACGGATTCGATGCTGAAACTGGACCCGGAAAGATACAGTCGTCTCCTGCTCTTTGGCACCGTCGACAAATTGGTTTCTCCTCGTCACATCTTCGCTTTCGTCTTCGACAGTTGAAGCAGCCGTCTCGGCTCCGGGAGCCACCTGACATGATGCATGGCGGTTGATGTCAAGTTAGTTGAGTGCTGGTGGGGAACGGAGGCACTTCCGATCAACGATCAACGCCACGTGACGGCCAATTGCATGCATTAGCTTTGCCTTATTGTTTATATTACATACCTTTACTCTGTATCTTTCTAATTATCTATCTCTTGAATCAGATCTGACGTTTGCTTGATTCAGTGGACTCTTGTTACCCTGCAGCCCCAGCGGAGACGGATATAACCGGCCATACCAATGCATCATGACGATCAGACCGCACTTCCAGTCCACAGCTATCCATGCTACCATGTTACGTTTCTATATATCTTAATACAGCATATTTCCCTCAATTTACTTAATATCATCACTCTCATGGCCACATCCCGACGCTTCTCCGATAGTGGAGGGTTAGCCCGCAGTGGGGTTCTCGGAGTCATACTCGGTCGACATACGGAGGCTAACAAGATACGTCGCAATTCTTCTCACTTACACCAATTTCCTCCCCGTCCCGCCAATCTCAACGCCCTCCGTAGCCTTCAACATGGCTAATGACCACATCCTCACCCTGTCGTGCCCCGACAAGTCCGGCATCGTCTACGCCGTGACGGGCATCTTTGCCGCCAACAAGCACAACATCCTCGACCTCCAGCAGTTCTCCGATCCCGTCTCCGAGCGCTTCTTCATGCGTGTGCACTTTGGCCCTACCGAGTCCGAGTCCACCGAGCACCTCGTCGAGGCCTTTGACAAGCTCGCTGCCGAGTACAACATGGACTACGATATTCGCCCTGTTGCCCGCAAGACCCGTGTTCTCATCATGGTCTCCAAGATCGGCCACTGTCTCAACGATCTTCTCTTCCGCATGAAGACCGGCCAGCTGCGCATGGAAGTCCCCGTCATCGTGTCGAACCACCCCGACTACGCCGCCCTCGCCCAGAGCTACGGAATCGAGTTCCACCATCTGCCCGTCACAAAAGACACCAAGGCGCAACAAGAAGGCCAGATCCTCGACCTCTGCAAGAAGCACGGCATTGAGCTCATTGTCCTCGCCCGCTACATGCAGGTTCTGTCTCCCACGCTATGCGAGGCCATGTCCGGCCGTATCATCAACATCCACCACAGTTTCCTGCCCTCCTTCAAGGGTGCCAAGCCTTACCATCAGGCGTACGAGCGCGGTGTCAAGATTATCGGAGCGACTGCTCACTTTGTCACTGCTGATCTGGACGAGGGTCCTATTATCGAGCAGCGGGTTGCTCGTGTTGATCACAGCATGAATCCTAAGGAGTTGTCTGAGGAGGGATCTAATGTCGAGAGCCAGGTTCTTGCTGCTGCTGTGCGGTGGTACGCTGAGAGGAGATTGTTCCTCAATGGCCACAAGACTGTAGTCTTTAATTAATAAAAGTTTGATTGCTTGTAAGCAGTGTATGGGAAGAAGTGCTTGTGAATGTGAATGTGAAGGCTTGTAGCCTCAACCTACGACTCCAGATGGCCTCTATGGAGGGATAGCAAACGACGATCACCAATCCCCGAATAGCTCAGCTGGAAGAGCGTTCGGCTGTAACTAATATATGATACCGAAAGGTCACTTGTTCGATCCGGGTTTCGGGTATTTCTTTTGCCGGTCATGGCATCTGGTGTTGTCGTATATCATGACATCTCAACTTTTTGGTGTCGCCAATTACATCACACTCAACTACCACAAAATCCCTCCGGGGGCTCCTAGCGGAGGGCTCTTCCTCGCTGCGCTCGTACCTGTGAATTATATGTAAGTAACTGGATAGCAAAAAATAAACTTGGAGCATTGGTAAAAGGTGCAAAAAATGAGTTCCCCGAAACCTGGATCGAACAAGTGACCTTTCGGTGAGATGCTTAACAATTACAGCCGAACGCTCTTCCAGCTGAGCTATTCGGGGAGATCTCCGAAACCGGAGGAATAGCCATTGGACTTGGTTGGGAGTGGAAGTGTAAAGTGTCCCTATAAGCAGCGTATTAATTCGAGCTCGATGATACTGTCTATTCACCCTGAGCTGGCCAGAAGGGATTAAATCCAAGAATGTATAATTGCAGCAAGAGATGCTGTCGCAATTGTTGAGTCTAAAGACAATCACACAAAACTTTTAGTGAGAAGACAATCGCACAAGATGGGATGAAACAACCCCGCGTCATCTGTGTCACAATGCTACGCCTCAACACCAAGCTCGCATTTGGGATACCTCAAACACTACATCCAGTCTCCTGCACCACAACCCGGATCTTAGTCACAGCATACTCCATCGAGAGCACAGCATCCACACATGTACCCAACTTTCCTCGCCGATCGCCATGGCTACTCCTCTGATCGTCAGAGCCATCCCCGAGTAGCTCAGCTGGAAGAGCGTTCGGCTGTAACTGTACCGTCACCGAAAGGTCACTTGTTCGATCCAGGTCTCGGGGATTCATTTTTGCCGTCATCTCTGGAAGCAATTTTAAGCTCATCTCGATACCATCACCTAACAACTCTCACAGTCCTTCCAACCTCTCCCCTCTCAACCTGTTCAACTCTACCCCTAACCTTTTTCCAAACCTCCTCAGCAACCTCCTCTACACTCCCGCCTGCATCAACTACCACTAGATCCTCCTCCTCCTGTGTCCAGTCCTCACCCTCACCTAGCCCAAGTCCCTGCGCCGCAAGGTCTTTCCCGCCCATGCTGAGACCCCAGAATAATTCCCGTACTCGTTTCTGCATACCAGATCGTTCATAGACCTCTCCACCCCAACCACCTCGAGCTTGAGCTTGCTCTTCGGTCAAATCGAGGAACAAGACAAGGTCTGGTCGGGGGAGACCGCGTTCTGGTGCTCGTGCCCAAGGGAGGGTCAGAGAGGGGTTCTGCTTGGCGGCTGAGTATACTATGCCTGAGTGATAATACCGGTCACAGACAATTGTAGTACCAGAAGCGAGTAGAGATTGGATTTGTTTGCTGAAAGGTCAGAAGTGAAGTGTAACAGACCAACAAACTCACACAGCTTCCCATCTGTTTGCGCTAAACAATAAATGAATAACATGATCATCCATCTCGACATCACTCTTGAGATACGCATCAATCATCTGCCCAATAGGTGTAGTCCTGTCTATAAAAATCAGCATAGCTCACTACTTCGTCAGTGACTTACCAGGAAATCTCATGACCTTGACCTTTTTACCCTCCTCGACAAATCTCTGCTCCAGCAGTTTCACCTGTGTAGTCTTTCCACTTCTATCCAAACCCTCCAAAATAATGAATGCGCCCCGAGTTGAGTCATCCGCTGTATCGGAGCTCGCAATAGCGGCCGTCGCCAAATCGTTGATTGAAGCCATAATGGTTGATGAGGGGAAGTGGATTGCTGACGAAATATTCACACTGTTTTGGTTAGTGGTTCACGTGGGACACAGTGCGGCGGAAATCAGATCATAATTTACACTCAGACAAGACCTTCTCAGTGAAACGTTCATTCAAACAGTGGTAATAATTAATGCTCAGACAATAATGTAGCACAAAACCATAGCCCCAGCTCTTGGTAGCCTAAGAAGAAAAAGTAACGCCGGCCAAACTCCACCATCCGTATCCATATCCATAGCCATCCATTCCATCATTCATTCCATCCGTATCCATTACCATAACAGTTCATGACTTGTTCATGCCTCGTGCCTATACAGTTTCGTCATGTGCGCTACCGCTTTCCCATAACTCAAAATTTTCTCCTGTTCCTTCGATTGGTTCCAAAACTGCAGCCTTGCTTGAACCTTCTGTGGGCTTGGCCATTAAGCTGTCGATGTCTTCTGTTGAAGGTTCGATAGGCTTTTCGGCTGTCGCAGGCGCAGGTGCAGGCGCATTCACCTCTGGCTCATCTTCAGGTACAAAAATGACTGATGTCTCATCACATCCTTCAGCGTAAAAGTCGGCAGTGTTCATTTCTCCCAATGCGACACGCTCTTTCTCAACAATCATGTCATCGGCTTTTGGTGCGCGACGGGTTTGAGAAATGTCATCAGGAGGAGGAACATTTTCCTTATCGCGACCTTCAGCACGGTCTCTGTTGAGCTTTCTTTGACTCTCCTCGTCGGATGAAATGTCAAGTACACATGTGCTGTGTTGAAGAAGGTTGGTCATCTCTTGTTCGGGTGTGTCCTCGTGAATCTCAAAGAACCAGCTGGCCTTCATGTCTGGTTCATGCAGAGCAGTGATGGGTTCCTTCTTGGCGCCATAGCCAGGAATAGTACCCTTGAGAGCAGCATCGAGAGAAAAGGGAGCAGCGGATCCAAGACTGAATGAAGGAGGATCAACGCGGGTGTAGGGACCAGCAGTGCGTCGTCGGCTAGATGCGATCCCAGATCGCTTGCTTCGGGTGGGAGATCGACCAGCTGGAGCATAAATGGGAGAAGACTTTGAGATGCCAGAGCTGAGTTTGGCGGGTGACTTAGGTTGAAGAGTGCGTCGGGTCTTGGTAGGGCTCGTGAGGCGATTAGGAATGGGAAATGCAGATACAGGTGTAGGCTTGAGGATGCTGTCCTTTAGGATGCCCTTGTCCTTGGAACCCTTTGATCGCTTGGCAAAAGAAGTAGGATCGACATTTTCAGAATCATCAGTATCAATAAGTTCAGCCTTTCGTTTCCCGCCCGTTGGCAAAGCTAATCACGGATGTCAGTTGAAGCCCCAAACACTCCGCATCTCCACATACCGTTTTGCCTGTTCTTGAGACTGGTCAAGGTCTGGAGACGAGTCCCATCAAGGGGAGCAAATGGTTGACGAGTGACAGTAGCCATGATGGACCCAGCAGCGAGAGAAGTTATTGTTTATTGTTATCGCGTGAGTCGAACGTGTAAATGAGTGAAGACGATGATGAGTGAAAGTGGGAGGGAGCGGGTAGAAAAGAGGTCCAGTGCCAAAGGTGGGTTCTGGCTGCGGAGGGCGGGCGCGTGGAGAAGATCGGTAATAAGGGAGCTTCAGCGCGAAAGTGGGTTCCCTCTAGGGCGTCGTGCCTTGGACGTGAGAGCGCGGTACGTGACGGGGCCACTAGAAGCAGGTCACTAGAATGCCTACAGAGGGCAGAGGTATGAAACAAGAATGCAGATTCGCGACCGTGTTAATTGCCAGTGCATGGAATTGATCACCGATGTCTGAACATTACGGAGTACATCTCAAGATAAGGCCATCTCTGCCTGAGGTGTTTTCCCCTCAATCAATGCAAGTTGGTCACCGCTAAGCACTTTTCCAAAATGATTCGCTCAATGCAACATGCCTTGGCCTTGTGGGACGTCCAAAACTCCACAAGCGTCAACCCAGTTCGCTGCGTGCCATGTCCAATCGTCGCGCTGAGCGCCAATGCAAGGGAGATTTCAGCATGCAGGATGAAGACATTTAATGTAACGCGAGTTCGTGTTCCTTGATCTGTGAACTCAAGGCCCGTCGTCTCAATCCCGAGGTTGTCTGCCCGAAGTCGTCAGAGCCCAAACTCATCTGCCCAAACCATCTGCTGTTGTGCCCAGCCAGCCTGTGCTTGGCCGCCAATATGCGACCATGGTCTCATCACAACATTGGCAGACACACAATTCCAATTGGCCATCGTCTTTCAGCTGATCTGACCGATCGCCAACCAGCTATTTCCACTGAAACGGGTCCCTGTAAAGTGTAACTTTATCCCGGCTTGTTACTATTAAAGGCCAAGACCACCCGCGATCTCTCGCGTCGTGTCCGTGTCGAACCCCTCTCGATGATACTTGTGTGCAACGCCAATGCATCGAGCTGCAAGTCGGAGGCTGGGAGGGACGGTAACATTCGCTCGGCGTTTGCCACAAATTTGTCCTGGTCGCATGCATAGCCTGCCAGCTCAGAGACCATATGTGACCGTAGAGTCTGGACGCACCAATACTTCAGTAACAGCAGACACTACCATGGTCGCATAAGGTTGCAGAGATATATCTATTGTAAGCCCCTATGAAGTGATAATACTACTGTCGTGTCTGAGGTTGAATCATAATAATATTCCACCGGCCGTTTGCTTCTTGACCTCGCCGTCTCCTCGTCTTCTCACTTGTCCTCATGAAGATGGTGTGGCCCATGATTTCCCGACCTACTCGGACCTTGCTCATCATCTTCCAGTCCATGCTGTCGTGGTGCTTTGGTCCGGACCACCGTATCGTGGTGCAAATGATGAGCTGAAGGAAATGCTCCCGGTGTCTTTTCGTCATGCCGAAGCAGATGATCCGGACTAGCTCGGTATGTTGCAACTTGATCGAATCCAATGTCGTGATTGGCTTGGATCTCATTCGTCTCGTTTGCATCCTGAAACAAATCGTGTCGATGAACTGCAGGTGGACTGGCCGGCGCCTTGGTATCGGTTCGAAGCTGATGAATTGAAGGAGGATACACAGGTGCAGAAGTGTCACTCTTCAACTGGTGAGGTGCATTGGTTCGATATGGTCCTCTGGGATCTTTGGAGAGGTCGTGACTGTGGTCAAGCGTTGCGTCGGTTGGTGCAACTGGATCTTGAGCGATTGACCTCTCCCGGGCCTTGCTTCGGCTGCTTGCAGATGAGGTTGGAGACGTACACTCGGATGAATCTTCGGGAATACAGGGAAGGTTTTCATCGGGTTCCGTATCACAAGTTGTGGCCTTGCTGTGCGATCTAGAAGTGCTCGCGGATGTGGTCATTGAGGGCTCGGTCTCATACCCGCAGCAACTGCGTCTCCGATGATGTCCATGATTGGTGAGTTCGTGTTCGATCTGAATGAGGCTATCAACTGGATAGCAGCAGCCCCATGTATTGTCATCGCTGCGGGTTCCTTCGATGTTGTAGAGATTGCGAACATCTGTACGCAGGTTGGAGATGAAAATACCATAGACTAGACATGTTAGAGTGTTTGACTTGCAAGGGGACACTTACAAGGCAAGCAGGCAGCAAATCCCAAGCAGGGCAGAGAAATGTCCGGACCCTTTAGAGGCTTCGACTAGTATTCCTCTTGTGTGTCGGCGATTCCTTTCTTGCTGACCTTGAATCGAACATGGCCATTCGGTGGTGTATCACATTCATATGCCCTATCGAGAGCATTTTCGTAGGCCTCTTTGGACCGACCGTAAACAATGCAAGGGCAGCAAATTGTTTCCCATAGGATCTTGTCTGAGGCGAGATCCTTATCTACCAACAGCCATTGTCCAGCAAAAGGCTTCTCCATGGTGTACAGTGAAACGACAGGCGAAGGGAAAGGAAAAGAATGATGATAAAGTAGTAACCAAGAAGTGTGATGAAGATGAAGGGTTTGAGTGGGTGGTCATGAGAAGAGAAGGTGTTGGGTGAATGCATGCAAACGGCAGGTGAAAGCACTGTTGTGTTGCTTCCTGGAAATAGTGGTGATGCCTTCCTCAAGACACTGCAAGGTCACGGGAGCAATTGAATGGCAGGAGCTCATCGTAACCCCCCTCATTTCTCACCACCTATTATCCAGACTCACCCATCTTCATTCCTCACTGCATCAAATATCCCTCCGGGGGCTCCTAGCGGAGGGCTCTTCCTCGCTGCGCTCGTACCTGATATGAGATTTCTATTTCTCTCGTCAAGGTGTTTCATCAATCGTCATCACCCTTCCTCAACTGCCTCTTCACAAGCGGAAATACTGAGCTCCCATTCATAAGACTACGACCACGAGGGGTGGTCATCCCCCATCCACAGAACCATCCCTTCCACCTCAAGGCACCCAAATCCCATCATCTGCTTGCCATCTTATCACCCTTCATCCACAGAAGCATCATCTCCAAGTGGAATTCGAGCTGGCAGTCACAAATTGGGGCCCGCAGTTGCAGGCGAAGTTTCTAAGCTCAGATCTCGGTATACTGACTGGAGCTGCAACAGAACCATGTTGCTATGAATGACAACCAAGTGGACGATCCCGATTCATCCATCATCTGGTAGCAGCAAAGGAACCATTGCCCACACGATGCAGTTGAGTTCCGCTTACAATAAAGGCAGGAGGTCTGCTGGTAAGACAGCCCTTTCCAGAACAAGACCACGAGCTGACTTGAGTACCAGGATGAAGATAGACGTTCGAGCAGATGACAACGGGACCGAGAACGCTACATTCAACAGCACACGCTCTCATTGTGGGCGTCACAATAATCGAGGTACTGCTGTCAATTTGTGTTGCCGGGAGTTTGATGATGAGCCTCAGACATACCCTTTCGACCCCTCGCTATGGTAGACACGACAGGCTTTTCCAAAGACGACTGCTCGAATCAGCGCCTGAGACAAGAGGACCGACAATGCCTCTTCGTTGAACCGGCGTAGCTATAATCTTGGCTGATCAGAGCATGAACTTGCCCTTCGAGCATCTTAGTGCTTCAATCAGGTGGTATCTCGGCCATGGCGAAGCACTATGTAAGTCTGCTTGGCCGCCATCGATTCGCATGCTGGCAGTCAAAGGGTACTTACGCAACCCCAGGCAAGATATCCATGCCGCCCCAGTCCATATTGCATGTTGATGTTACTCGCTTGAGACTTGTGGTTGAGAACTCGTATCGCAGACAGAACTTAGCCCGCCGAGGGTAACGGAGAGTGCTTTCATCCCTTACTTGTTTTCGAAGTCGGGGATATCTCTGGTGACGCTGCTACCCATATCGAGGAGAACATGCCCATGCGGCTCCCTATTCGAATATTGCCCCCGTTGCAAACTTACAGCGAGGGCCTGCAAACCTCTTCACAAGACCAAGTCCGCTTTCGTTCGACCCCGATATCCTCACCACTTGAATCGTCGCTGATGCTATCCGGAATCCACTGCAGAGTCCGTTCTCTCAGCTTGGTTCCATCATTCAACTTTCTCGGTAGTTTCTATGTCTATCATACCCGGCCGCTTGGCTAACTGAGTATACAGACCGTGCGGTATTTCGAAACGCTCTGCGATATCAGCTTAACCAATTTGTTGGCAGGTTGCAACTCTGCTCAGAGGCACTGTCAAATGTGTCACTAGACTGGTACTGATGAAATGCAGCAACACCTCTTTGACGTTCAAACGAGACCAACTGCGACCCGCCTTACAGTCAAAGCGAAGAGTGCTATCTTGAACCAGCGGTTGCAGGTGGGCAGATCAACGTTGCAGCGAGTACCTGGCTCCAGCCAACCTTTACAGTCTGAATAACAGCACGCATTCCCTCTTAAAGCATGCCGATTACACATGCAAGCCTGCTGGTAGGTGCCGTCAAGTTTCGATGTCGCTGGGATTTTACTGGTTAGACGTAGACACACCTCGACCTATCATGTTCAACTTCGACTCGTCTCTGGGCCAAAGTGAAGTCAATCTTTTCGATCAACAGGCGACACTCGATGGCGCTTCTGAGAGGGCTGATGATAAGCCCGTCCCATGTGAGAGAAACATTAGACCTCCATCCCGAACTATGCCATTCGGAAAGAAAGCCTAACAATAGATACAGTTGCTTGAACCTGAAGACAAGTTTCCCGCAGACCAGATGCCGCTCGAAGGATCGCCATGATCGTGGTTGCCCATTGAAGACGACACTCGTCTCCCCCCTCAGTAAACCTTTGGTGTCTGGACATGACTGTGTTGACAGAATGACAACACTCACCACTAGTCAGCGGAGACAACTTCTATGTGCCTCGTGGCCCGCTCGAACTCCCATTGTGTTCTCCTCAAAACTGATTGATGAAGAGGCTGTCGATGGTCTGAACCAGTGGGGACCCAGAGACGTTGCCAATCGGACTTGGGCTTCTATTGGCATATGAACTGATATTCAGCAGTCATGCAACACCAACCAATTC